CCTTGTTGAACTCCATGAGGTTAATGAAGGAGTAAGACAACAGATTGGTTTATAATTAATTGAGTGAATAATTGGCTGTCCACACACAACATACATATAAAATATATTAGACACTTGTTATGGACTGAAATAAACTAGACAGAAGATTTTAATGAACACTTTTTAAAATCAGGCACATGTTTTTTTCTGCAAGCACTTTCCATCCCAAAGTTTAACACTTCTCATTGAGAAGAATTCTCCTGCCACAGAAGTCTCAGATGTCAGTAAGAACCACTAATGTGCTCCCATTATGAACACTGGTAATGTTCATCAGGCCCAAGAGAGGTTTCTGATGCCCCACCTGGTATTTTCCACCACGTCTCTTCTCAGTTGCTGCAGATATTCTCGGCGTCTGCTGGGGAGATCTAGATCCCTCTGACTCGCATCCAGCGTCTGCAACAGACTCAAATGCTTTTGAGGGCTCAGACTTCTGCTTCTTTGGTATTTTTGCAGCCTTTTTTCTCTCTCCTTCCTCAGAGTTTCAATAGTCCTCAAGTGTCTGTCAGGGCAATGTGAATAAAGTAACAAAATGCATCCTGCAAAGTTATGTTTTCTGTTTTTTGTAACAAATAATAGGTAGCTTTGTAATGTAAAATTTATAGGAATGTAATGGGCTCCCCTTGCAAATACCCCTTTGGCCACCTGCTGACAGGTGATGCAGAAATTCTGAAACTTCACTGCTTTTAGAACAGCAGGAAATGCATAAAAAGGTCTTGGTTATTGCTTGTAATGGCTGAGAGGCAAATTGAGGACAGAGACTAACATAGCTACTCCTTATTTTTTTTAGTTACAACAGCTTCCTACACCGAATTCTACAATCCAGTTGCAAGAATCTGGGATCTTGATTTTTTTCATCATTTATTTCATATATTTATGGGGGTTTTAAATTTGGTTCAGCATATTCATACAGCAGCATTTAGTCACAGAAGCCTGCATGAGAGACTCCCATAAATAGGACGTACCAATTATTTTTACATTGCAATAAATCAATGAAATCTATTTGCATGATCACCAGCTATACCTGATCACTCTAACTGCTGCTACAACTTTTAAGAGTGGGATGACACAAGATTTGAATGACACCATATCTTATACTTTTCCCTATTTTCACTAAGTAACCCCCAAAATTTTGCCTTAAATGCATTGCTTAAGTGTATAGAAAATCAGCTTCAAACAATACCTCTTTTACATACAGTTCACTCAGTGTGACTAAGCGATTAAGTCCTCTTTACTAAACGTCATTTATGCTGCATGAAGGACACATTAAGTGTATTTACAATACTTTTTGAAGTCATTTACCTTTCATAAAGTTGCTGCTTTACTGGAATTGCCACCAGGTCATCTGCAGTCCCGCTCTGGAGGACCCTCAGCAGGGCGTCCGTTTCCCCGATGCCGTAATTGAGCTTTGCTTCCGTCAGCTCCACAGTGAGAGGATGCTGATGCAGGTCCAGGTGAATGCCAGCCATGATCTGAGCGCGCTCTCTCTGAAGTCTCTCGATCTCTCTGCTCCTGCTGTCGCAAAGCTGGGACATCCCTTCCACTTCCGTTGCCCGTGTGCTTCTAGGTGTCTTTTCTGCCTGACTTCGTAGATCGCCCACACTGCCACTCCAGCTGAGTAAGGAAGGAGGAGGGCTGCCCTTAACACCACACCAGTTGCTGAATTTATTGTGTATGGGCAAGTCACGGAGGCTGTAGCTCCGAGGCCTGTAAGGCTTTGCGAAAGCGTTATTTTTGCTGAGAGTAATTTCAGTCTCACATTCACTTCCAGTGACGGAATCTGTGGTGTCGTCTTGGAAGGAAGGTTGCACATCACTCACATCAGACAGCAGGGGAGGGCACCTGTTTGCATTTTTCCAGAAGAAATCGTGAAATTGTAGAGAAGATGCCTCTTCCAGAGGTTCTGAGGACGTGCCAGCATTTGCCTTACTTGAGCAAGCGGCACTAATCTTATTAAAAAGCAAGTCAGTGTTAGGAGGCGAGTGGTGACGAATCAAAGCACTATCAGAATTACCAACATATTTTTCGTATCCGATTCCGGCTGAAGAACCTCTTCCTCCCCTTGTGACATACATACAGCGAAGTGAACGTGCCAGCGGACCGCGGTCTTGGAGATCACCTGCTAAAACTTCCCTGTGGCCCGACACCTCTAACGTACTACTGGAGTGATACAGCCGTTTTGCACAGATGGTAGTGTGAGTGCCAACCGTGAGTCTGTGCTGCTCTTCCAAGTCTTTTGAACCATCCTGTCCTAAAAGCTCTTTGGCTGCTTTCTTATCGGAGAAACTTCCGGATTTCTTTCTTATGCCGTTGTTTTCTCTAGAAGCGCTCGATTCGCTGTCTGTTTCTGTCTGTGAAAAACTGTCCACGTGAGGTTGCGTGCTGGACCGCAGACCTGCCCTCTGCTTTCTCTGGTTGGGAAGAGAACGTGAAACATCACTGAGACATCCAAGGGGTTCCTTAATAGGGCAGACAGCCTTGCTAAAAGCAGTCCGGCTGCTGGGACTAGCACTGAGAGTAAGAATAGGGGAAGAGGCCCTATCGACTAGCAGGGCGTTTTTGTAACAGAACTTTCTTTCTGCTGGAACCTCTAGTTCACTGACACTTCTTTTATCCTGGGCGTAAGATGCTGGAGACTGAGAGGTGCTGTAAGCAGGGCTGCTCACTACAGTGCACGAAGAACCATCTTGCCCTGAACTCAGAGAAGATGATGTGACGGACGAAACTCTGGTACTTGCAAAAGCAACATTCTGCTGTGCATTTAATAACGTTTTTTGAAAATCTAAGATAGGAGTGGAGGTTCTGGGTAAAAGAGGCAGGCGCATAAAGGAGTCTTCAAAAATGCTGTCAAGACTGTCACGGAAATCAGGGTTGCCCAGATTTCTCATCCCTGTTCGTTCTTGTGCTCTTTCTTCAAGAGACAATGGTTCCTCTTTCCTTTTGGGAATATTACCTGCTGCATCCACACCTGTTCCTTTCCAGTCAACATTTACTGCCTCAGCTGCCCTCAGTTCATTTTCTGGTTTTGCCTCCACTTGTTTTTCTTCATGTCTGCTTTGACATTCTTCCAAAACTTCAGTCTGAGTGCCTACATCTGCCGTAGTCTGAGTGCAGCTGTCGGATCTAGTAGCCTTGAGAGTCTCCTCCGTTCTCCTTTCGTTGATTTTGGCATTCTGCTCAGTATCTAGCATACTCTGTTGGGAGAGATTTCCCAGTAACTCAGAAGTGTTCTGAAGGAGCTGTGACAGATGCATGGATAGGTTCTGCATGCTTGTCCATGAAGCAGGTTGATGAAATATTTCTCTGTTTGTTTCCTGCTTTCTTGCAGAAACATCTGTATAGCTTCTCTGATGTCTTCTCTGCCTTCTGTACCTTCCTGTAGTTGCCGTTTGTGTTCCCTGCTCACATGTACTCCCTGGTAGGTTTTTGGAAGGCCTTTCCGACTCAGAAGGATATAACAGTACAATTTCATCAACCTGCATTGAAGAGTTACCAGGCTGTGCAGAAGGACTGTCAAATTCAGCAGCGTTATTTTCTGGATTAGTTTCCAATGTTTCACTAGATACATTGCTATACTGCTTGGTGCTGTTGCTTAAGTATGCAGATTGAAAGCCTTCTCTGACACTGTCCCACCCCTGAAGACCTTCAATGCTGCTTAAAGTGCTCGATAAAACTTTTGCTGTAGCATACGAACTGAGATGAGAATGAAAAGGAGAATTTTGCGAGTTCAATCCATTGTCTACACTGGAACATCTCATAACTTTACGATTTTCCAGGTTTAAAGGAATTTGATTGCAAGAGACATCACTTGCACTTCCAAAAACATACTGTTTCCAGCCAATCTTGCACGATCCATCTTGCTGCCACGGATGAATATATGGATTGATGTCACTTGAACTAAAATGCATTGCATCTTTATTGTCTTGCAAAAACAAACCTGTTTCTGGCTGACACCCAGCTTCTTCAACTTTCCCTTCGCTACACTGAGCTACAGAACTACTCTTTGAATGGATATTTACTTCTGCACCCCCAGAACTGTGAGATGTGTGCAGTAAGGATGACGCAGGGTGAGTAGTGGAGTTTTTTAAAGACTGGCTGCTTTGGGTCCTTGCTGCAAAATTTTGTAAACCCTTCAGATCACAGTTTGCAAGCTTCTTTGTTTGTGCCATTCTCTGCTGAAATCGGGGTTTAGATCTAACCTGTAGAAAGTTCTTTGAGTCCTGTTTTGAAAGTCTTTCAATTCCATGAAGGTCATCTTCAGTTGGGGATGGAGGCTCTACACTCATATTTAAATCTTGTAGAGATTTAGAGGCAGAATATAACAAAGGATCTGCCTTAGATGAAGCTTCCAAAGTACCTTCTAGATCAGAGAACACAGCAATGGCAGGGGCTGATAGTCTGTGGCTTTGTAAATAAGGCCTCTGTTGACTTTGTTTAGAGCTCTCGGTATGCCGTGTAGTAGTGTATGATCTTTTGCTCCTGAATTGCACCAACTTGGACTCTTGAGGAGGCAAATCATGGTATTCTGTTAAAAACTTTACAGAGGTACTTTCATTATTCATTACAGAAAATGTTAGTCTTTCTGATTTCAGAGTCGTATTCCTCATTATAGCATCTCCCATTGTCGAGCCACTGTCTGCATCAGCACGGCTATCAACACTTGAACCTGTATTATTTTTGCAAAGTAAAATCTCTTTTCTACCATCTGTGTTTGTCATACCTGGAGCCTGTTCTATCTGTTTACCTGTAGGCTCATACTGACAGCTGTCTTGTGGACCTGCAGAGGTTTTTTCAAAACCCAAGACGGCACGATACAGTCGCCTGGGATTGGTGCTTCTGCTGTATGTGGGATGTGTTGTACTAAATGAATTGCAGGTATGTTCAGGATCCACATCAACATCTCCTGGATACAGATTTTCCAATGCTGTAACTTCTGGGCCTATTAATTCATGTGTAGAATTTGAGGATACATTAGTTTGCTTTTCAACAGGTTCTCTACTTAAGGTTTTTCTCTGCTCTGTCTTTACTGCAAAATGGTCAGCCTCAGTACTTGAATGCACTTCTTCATCTTTTCTGTTAAGTTTTTTTCTTATTTGTCCCTCTTTGACAAGAATTGCCCTTCCAGTATCCCAAAAAGGTAACGATGGTAATAAAAGAGAATTATCATTTAGTACTTTCTCTATGTGTTTTGTGCAAGCTTCTTGTGGTGGGACTTTACCCCAGTGGTACTGATCAACTTTTATACCACTGTCAATTTTTTGACGATTACTTCCGTATACAGGTTCTCCATCTAGAGCAGAATTTTTGTATGAAGTGGAGTCTGTGTCTGACACTGGACAATGCCTGTTTTCTTTTGCAAGAGAAAGTAAAATACTTCCTGAAGCATGCATCGGCTCATCAAATACCACAGCCTTATCAGACTGAGTGTCTTGTATTTGCAAAACAGCCAATGGAGGATGTTTCAATACACTTGTATGTGAAATACCGTATGTGCCAGTTTCACCATGGCCCATCCCTGCAGTTAAAGATTCTGAGAATGGCGTTAGGGATGGGTCATCGACACTTGCAAATGCTTGGGAAAAATCTTCTTTTATGGAGAGCACATCTGCAGAACTGGAGGACACTTGCTCAGTCAAAAAAGTGTCTTGAAGCGAGTCCTCCAGCTCCAGCTGACTAAATATTAGAGATTTTGAGACATCAAGTAAACAAGAAGAGTCAAAATCACTGAAGTTCTTGGAGCTTTGAAATGGCGTATCAGTTGGAGTATCTTCTGCAAAGTAGGACACAAGAGACATTGATTCTTTACTGCCAGTCTGTTCTTGACTCTGAAAAGTAAGCGAGCCCGATTCTGGTACAGTCATGCTAGAATTGTTACGGTAGTGTTCTGAATAGTCGTGCATTTCAATTTTTTTTATGTCAATGCAGTTCTGGAAAGAACCTTCATTTGTTTTCTCATTTTGATCTGCTCTCCCAACTTTTTCAGGGATTTTATTATTCTGGGCATATGTGGCCTCTGTAACTGCAGAGTTATTTTTCCTTACATCTCCTTTCTGAGAGACATCAGGAGAAGTTACAGATACACATAAATCCATTGATTCAAAGTATTTTGTGTCTGCAGAGTCACCATCATTTTTACCTGCATCTCCACTGCTGGCAATCAAAACATCTGCAAATGACGCAGAACAATTCAGGAGACCAGGAGAACGTTCAGAAGTGACTGAGTCCCTCTTATAATTTAGAAACTCTTTACTGTAATGTGGATTTTTGAACTGGGACATGTTCAGGCTTTCTGAAACGGCTGAAGCATTCTCAGAAACAGTGCTGCCTGGTTGGTCTATGCAGCACTCTTCAGAAGTCCCTTGTCCCTGATTTTCTCTGGGCTCACGCTGATATCCAACCACACCAGGAAACTCTGCACTTTCATTTTTACTGTTGTTTGTAGTATAGCTTGTGCTTAAAAATGTCTCCTCCTCATCATGCTGTGATGAATTCCCTGAGTGAAGTGCTTTCTGAGTTGTATTAACATTGGGAAACATTTTTTGAGAAGAGATTTCTAGTAAAGAATGCATTTCCTCCTTCCCTGGATCTTCCATCACTTCTTTCTCTGAAGAAGGAAGTAGAATTAAATTATCCAACAGTAGCGAATCAGGCACAATGCCATCTTGAGCGGTATCTTCTATGGAATTAAGGCAGTCTTTTGACAGCTTATTAGCCACTGAATCCACACTGTGTTCTTCATGAGCATTGTTAGCATCCTGAATTCTATCTTCAGAAGAATCCAATTTTTCCAAGGAAGATGAATTTCCTTCATCCCCCTGCTGAAGTGCAACAGTCTTGGACTCAGGACCACCTGCACTGTAGGGAGTGGAAGAGCCGCTCTTCTCATGGACAGGTTGCCCAGATACAGCGTAATCAGGTGCACTGTTAAATACAAAGGATTCTTCCTCCTGCCTGCCCTGTGTGGTCCTGGTTTGCAGAAAAGCTACATCCTTACTTTGTGTTTTATCAGGAAGATACTTGTCTTCTTCCACCGTGTTGGCTGTAACGGGCAAACCAACACAGACCTTGTTCTCCACTAATGTTTCATAGTAAGGCAGAACAGCTCCAGTCCCAACAGTGTGGTTTGATGGGTTTGTGTGTCCTTTCAATGCAGTGGGGATGTCATGAACAAGACAGGAATCATCACTTACTCCAAGATATAAAAGGGGATTTACAGAGTGGCATGGGGAGTCTTTAAGCACACCTTCTTGGGTTTTTTCAGCAGACTTCAGTGTTGATGGTAGGTCTTGTTGCCTACTAGTATCTTCACTACTTCTCAAAAAGCTGGTGGACACCCACTGGCTTTCTCTTAGGATTTCTCTTAATCTGCTGTCACCATGTGTCATTTGGCAGCTGTCCTTGTTTTCAGGGAATAGTTCATTCAGGTTTTGTAAAATGATCAGTTTTACCTCCTCTGCGTTTTCTACAAACATCTGCTTTTCTTCGTCTGTTTTGGCTATTTGTTCTAGATTCATCAAATGCACTTTCTCTGCCCCAACACTGGAGCATCCTGGATCCAGTTCACAAATATCAGGTCTTTTTCTAGCAATACTTATATTCAAGTTTCCTGAAGTGCCATGCTCAGGATATCGCATAGAGCAACTCATATACTGATGGCTGTCCTCTTTAACGTGGAGACCTTTAAATGGTTGGTCAAGTCTATATTGGTCAATACCAGTATTATCATCGACTGTATATTCATATACATCGACATCTTTCATGACTGAATTTCTTGGATCTGTAACAGAGTCCACTGAGCCACCATCTTCACTCATTTCAGTAACATCGTGGTGTCTTGAATCATCTTCAAACAGTACGTTCTGTTCTGGTTCTGAAGCTGTCAGATATCTTTCAGGGATCTTAAATTGATTTAGAATTTCCTCTTTGTCATCTCTGTCACAATACATCTGATGCAGAACTGGAGACTCTTCAGTAAGTAGAACATTTTCATCTGTGCGTATGATTTCTTGCCTCTTAATAATCAGCCCCCCAGTATTTGTCATGATCATTTGTTCTTCACTCCCAGTCACTTCATTTTCATTGACCTTGTCTTCCTGGGGCAAACAGTTTGGTACACAACATTCAGTTAAATTCCTAGGATTTACTTGTCCTTGATTTTCAGGTTCTGCTGAAATGTTTCCTTGCCTACCTGTGATTAATACTGTTGCAGCTATGTCCTCTGTATTAAACACATTTTCTGTTATTCTGTTCATCTGTAAAAGCTCCTCACAGGCATCAGGGAAGCCTGGAGTGTTCCGAGTAACAACATTTATGTGGGAGCACACAGCTGAAGGAGCGTTTTTAGGAGCAACAGAGAACTCTGGTGAATAAATATCAGTTTCTATTGTCTCACTGTTTTCTTTTTGGCAAAAACTGCTTCTTCCAAGTCGGCTGCCAGAACGCACAAGTGCTTTTGATTCCTGAGCGTGTTCCATCCTCCTGCTGGCTACCTGCACTTCATCTTTCTCCGGCTCTCCATGGGTCAGGCACAGATTCGTATAAAACTCACACTGAACTTCACAAGCTACAGTATCAATAGTTTTTTTTGGATTCTGAGAGAAATCGATGCCTTTAAAATCCTCTCCGCTCCTGTCTTCAGTTACACTTTGCACTTTAGCTGGTGGATAGTCAGGTGAACTTTCAATCTGCCTGGATTTCATTTCCAGTGCATTTTTTTCTAAGTTGATGGCACTATTGATCCATTTTGTTATTTCTTCACCAGTGTTTGCTGTTGTATTCTGATAAGGAACCACAGTTTCTTCCGGATTGGTTTCTGGATTTCTTAAAAAATTGGATTCTTTATTTCTATACAAACTTTCCTCTTGAGAAAGAGTAGCTGATGTATTTGTGTGGTATTCCAATACTCTTCCTGACTCTGAGTTTACACTGTTTTCAACAAGCAAGATATCCTCTGGGCAATCACTTCCAAAAAAGGCTTCTTTCTCTTCTCCTGATTCAAGTAAAGATTTGTTTGGCGTTTCTGTTTCCAAGAGAGTGGTTGCATCAAATTCCACAGAAATGTCAGTCATCTCACACATATTGCTTTTCTGCCCTGTTGAATCTGAAGAGCATGTTGTGCAAAGGCTGCTGCAGCGTACATCAGAACAACTTTCTGTGGCGCTGACTTCCACAGCAAGATTAGACGTAACATCACAATCTTTCACTGTTGTGACATGCTCCAATAGTTTGTCAGAATTTTCAGTCTCAGACGCACTTTGAATAAGATCAGCTGTTGTGGAAGCTTGATAAAATATGCTTGAATTTGATTCTGGGAGAAAATAATTTGTATTTTCACAAATAGCAGCAGGGAAGGACTCAGTGTCTTTCCCATTTGCATTGACTATGAGATAACTTACTTCATTTACCACTAAGTTTTCATATTTGGATGAAAATTCTTTCTGAACTACAGCCTGAGAATTCAAGGCACTGTGTTCTTTGCTTTCATTGCTTTCTTCTCTTATATTATCAGTGCATAATGTAGAATTTTCTGAAATCTGATGGGATGAGCAACTTTCCTGACTGTCTGCTAGAGCATATTCATGGGAAAAATTTGTTGAAACAAGTTTGCTTTTGAGTTCATAATGATTCAGTGAAGACAAGTCTTCATCCTTTGGTTCGTATTCTTCGTTATCTCTGAAGGAAGGCACCTCTGGTACAATCTCTGCCAAGCTATCTGTGCTTGTTTCCATACACATAGTCTCTTTTTGAGACACCTCTATGGGTGCTGCAGATTGGTCGTAACTTGCACTGTGAGCAACAACTAAAGGATTACAACAATATGTTGTCTTCTGTGAGGAAAACACTGTCTCTCTTGTTACTTTGGCAGATATCTGTCCATCATCCGTTTCTTGCATTGTTTTCAAATCACTCTCCCCAGATCTGACGACACCTACTGTAACAGCTGATTCTGCTTCTTGCCCAGCCAATGTCTGAAGCTTGTAACTGCTTACTAGAGAGCAGTTCTTATTTGTTAAGTCACTGAGAAAGAAACCTTCATCACAACATGCTGGTATTTCCCTTCTTGGAAAAAGCTGCCCATGGTTTCCAAACTGGACCTGTTTTACTGCAGACGCCTGTGCTGAGGCCTTATTATGAGCAAGTCCTATAGAAGATCCAGCAGCAGGCGCACTGACAGATGCACTTCTGCTGCCTGAATCTGTTACACTTGACTTTGTCATCAAGTTGTTGTAGTCATCATCTAGGTCCTCCTTTTCAAAAGTTCTGAAGAAATCATCTCCTAAATCTGCATCTACGCATCCATTTCTCTGCCCCAAAACATGCACAGGCAACACAGAAATAAAAGGGTATTTTTTCCGATTGTGATCTTTTGGCACCTCTGGATGAGTCATGGGGAAGGAATCCTCCTCCTTCCTAGATACCAGTGACAAACAGTCTGCAGTGGAGGTGCTTCCCGAACAACTAAACATTTGTGTGCATTCAGTGGTAGACCTGTAAGTAGATAATTCATTCAGTTGTTCTTGTTCAGGATGATTTGACCTTGAATGTTCATAATAATCACGTTTTGCTGAAACAGGAACAAAAGATGAGGTTGGTCCTACTGAGCTAACAAATGAGGACATTACATCCTGAGTTTCCAAGGAAGAATTTTCATTAGAGTTTGTCCATCCCTTGAGAATCTTATTTAATGATCCACTTTCAGAAACTCTGCTTGCAGTTGTTGTTGTTTCAGGTAAAGGTAATTCTGATGTGTCAGAGGAGAAAACTGTATTTAATTCATTTATACGATGTGATAAAGGAGTAATGCTGTGTATCTGCTTAGAGCCAGAAACAAAAGAAACTTCAGCAGCTGACTGCTTTAGGTCATCTTTCTTCAGCCAAAGCTCTGGTTTGCTCAAAAAGCACAGGTGAGCTTCTTGAAACTCCAAATTTTCATGGGATGATGGTACTGTTATTCTGGGGCTGCTCATGCCAACCTTTGAGTCACAGGAAGACCAAGCATCCGTAGTAAGCAAAGGATTTCCACTTGTGTAGTAGAGTTTGCTATCAAGTGACCTTTCCTGTTCTACAAAAGAGACTTCTGTCCCCTTCAGCAACTGGTTACAAGCATTACTGGAAGCAGGCTGTGGTTTAGTGTCCAAATAAAAGGAACTGCTCAGCTTCAGATCATAATTTGTCCCTTCTGTATCTCTGTCACAGGCCTTGGACTCATGGTCTTCCTCAGTCTGTACAGTTGGTGATCTAGGAGTTTGCAACTTCCAAAAAATCTCTGCTGGTACTTCATCTGATGAATCCGATTTGGATTCTTCTACCAGATCTTCTGCTGGCATTTCTTCTCCATCAGCTAAGCTGTCCAGAGAAAAACTTCTTTCAGGCTTTCCCAGTCTCCTACGAGATGCGTATGATGTCACTGAAGATGAAATATGGTGATCGGTTCTGCTTTCGTAAAGCTTGGCTGGGTCATGGGAAGCTTTTGACTTGTGAAATCGGCTTTTATTTTGCTTTTTGGCTTTATTTTCCTTTTCTACCAGAGAGTCTTGTGACATTTGACTATCATCACTCTCAGAATCTTCTGGGTTGGCAAGACATTTATTTCTGTCAAAATATTCTAGTTTCAATTTCCCCGTGAAAGCTTTTGCATAAGCACAGGAGAGAGAATCTACAGAGTAGGAACTGTCGGTATCAGAAATCTCATTTTCATCATCCTCTTGCCAGTTCCCCAGCACATCCGTGGCAGTTTTGGACACTCCAGCACTTAGCATCTCAGCACTGTGCCACTTCTTTTCAACATAAGAGAGTGGTGCCTGTGTGCTCATCTTAGTGAGATTTCCAACCGATGTCGCCACCATCAGAAATTCTTGCTGCTTCACTGATGATTTCTCATGACTTGGCAAGGGCGAGTTTGGCGCTGTCTTCCAACTCTTAGCTGTTTGGTTTAGATGTGCTGGTGGTGGGTTTCCATACGCTGTTTTCTTAATTTCTTTTGGAGAGTTTTCTGGAGAAGACCTGTAGCTTTTTCCACTGATATCCATTCTAGCCTTTTTATTGGATACCTGAGCTCTATTTTGTTCTAGATTGCTACTTGCAGGCTGACATAAATGTCCTAGCACCTTTGCTTTTGTTATTCTTGTCCCTGTAATAAAGGCTTCAGGCTCATCTTTCTCCTTAAAAAGATCAGGAGAAGAGCCTTTAGAGGTCTGTTTTTGAGATCTAGCTTGCCCTGGGCTGTCATCCAACTTTTCAATTTTTTGATCATTTTTATTGATATAAGCCATGACAGCTGAATCATTAGAGTCTTTTTCTACTCCTTTTTTATTTCCAAATGAAGATGGTTTTTGTTTTTCAGTTAGCTGCCTCTGGACTGAAAAGGAGATCCCTTTTTCATCATTACTGTCATCACTCCCAGAAATATCTTTAACTTTTCCGTAAAGACGTACTGCAGGTGACAGCCTCCCTCTTGTTCTGCCTTCACAGCATCGGTCAATATTTGTCGAGGTAGATAACTTGGAGAAAGTCTCTCTCTTCAACAAACAGCTGTGGAAATAAAGAATAAATAAAGCCCAATCCCTTCTCGAATAATTTACTTAACAATGCTTATACATCGGTAGAGTCTTGTAGCTAAGACTAAAAACACATGAAGCAACAATCAATGCCTTTCAAAAGCAAATTCTAGCAGAGAATAAAAATAAATTCTGTCAGTAACCATACAGACCCACAGATGCCCTGAAATATGTTCTGTAACACACAGGAATATCTCAATACTATCTGGTATTTAGTCTCTGTAGCCTTAAGTAGCTGAAAACATTAGTTAAAAATAAAGGATGGTTCTAAGTCATAGAAATTCACTGTGGAGGTTTCGCTAATTCCTGCCTCCAGGACCATGCTGTGATAGACACCCTAGCATTCTAACTTTTTAGCATTGTAGAGAGATTTTGTTTAGCTTGAGAAGGGCTGGCCAACTTAGAAGTCCAATCCGGAATCACTCCAATGGTGCAAATATTCTGAAGCAAGAGTTTGAGCATTATCCAGATACAGTGATGCAGGAATTAGTATTTATCAACAGTTTGAAAAAGGTAAGAACAAGAGTTAAGCCAGTTCAAAAGAGGTAAAAAGGGGACAAAGGATTGAGTGAAGAATGTAAAAAACAGTGAGAGAGACCATGTCAAAGAACTTGGCAGGGAATGCACTGTACAGATCCGAGGAGAAAGGACGAACAGCTCCAGTGTGACATACAATATAGTAACTTCACCGATACCAAAGTTTTGGCATTGTTTCGATACACTGAAAGGCATTCTGGATTATAGGTGGCCACTAAAAACACCTTGAATTTAAATTACTGTTGAAAGTGCAGCAGAATTGGCAGGTAACATACCTGGGTAGCTGGGGCAGATGCGGGTTACAGAATGAATGCTGCCTGTGCTGCAAGGAACTCCAACCCAATGATTTCCTTCTCTTCTGCAGCTGGTGATCTGCAGAGGATGGTACAGCAGTATTTTCATTTAGGACTTGGGATTGTTTCACACACTCTTCATGGAGCCAACAGCTAGTTTCCAGCTGCTCTAGGTTTTGCTTAGCTTCCAGTAACTTCTGCTTCTTGACTATCCTTTCCAGCTCGAATTTCACCTTTTTCCGTCGTATGCTTCCTTCTGCCTTTTTTAAGGAGTATCTTCGCAAGAGCTCCAGCTGCACGAGTCTCTTCTTGTTCTGCTGTAGCAGGGAAGGGCAGATTTCCAGCCCAGTGCTACTCTGCACCTCAGCCTCTGCACACAGCGTAGACTCTGTTTGCACTGCAAACTCTCTCTGCTGTTGCTGAAGGGCAGCCAGACGTTTATTCTCATTGATAAGCCACTGCTGGTCTGTAAACAAAACAGTGATTTAAAGAAAGTAAAAACCATAGGGAAAACATTATTCCTTACTATCTTGTTTCTTAATTTAATCAGCCTTGAGAGCTCATTTGAGAACAGAATTTCTATGCATGTAGAATAGAGTTTTGACAAACCATTTAGAGAAAAATATAGCACTACACTACACTTCATTGACAACTGAAAGCCTCTCCACTGGGATATGGACTCAGGTAACAACTGCAAGATATAAGCAGGGGCTTGGCTGATACAGCTAGGGAGACTGGTGGGTAAGACCTTGTTTGTAAGCAAAAAGTAGAACACGTCTCTACTTAACTCATTGCAGGTTTTGAGTGTTTTAAAACTAATCTAAACCAAACATTTCTCTGTGTACCTTTTGCTCCTATCCCTTCCTTCTTATCTTTATCCTGTAGTGACTGACGGGTTTAAACTGAAAGAGGGGAGATTCAGATAGGACATCAGAATGAACTTCTTCCCGGAGAGGGTGGTGAGGCACTGGAACAGGCTGCCCAGAGAAGCTGTGGATGCCCCATCCCTGGAAGTGTTCAAGGCCAGGCTGGATGAGGCTTGGAGCAACCTGGTCTAGTGCAAGGTGTCCCTGCCCATGGCAGGGGGGTTGGAACTGGATGGTCTTTAAGGTCCCTTCCAACCCAAACCATTCCATGGTTCTATGATTAAATGGACTGAACCAACCAAAACCACCTGCAAACTATTTTCTCTCACTTACCTAGGCAAGCTGAAAATGAGGGATCCCAGAGTCATGCTGAGCAACTTTGTTCAGCATGAGAAATGGCGATTTTTGTGCTCACCCATATCGGTGGCAAGTTCAGTAAGCCTGATGGCTAGACCTCTCTCTGTCCCAACTGGGATGTGCCTCATTTGCGGGGGCAGCTGCCAGCTACCCGTCCTGTGGATGGGCATGCAACCTTCAAAGTGGGTTGAAGACAAGGCTCCAAGGAAGTCACCACACAGGTAGCTGCCAGACAGTTCTGCCAGCCTCACTAAACCCATCCGACAGAAACTTCCTAAGCAACACACACCCTGCGTGGCACCTGCCTGAGGCAGAGCAACAACCACAGATTTACTACCTCTTGCAACTATGGCTGCTGCAGCAAGCACTTGCTAAACAGCCTGATGGGAGCCCACATATCTTGTACACAAGCACTTTAGCGTGTAATGTACTTGAAATAAATCGAATACTCTCATGGCAAGGACGCAGGGGAAGCCAACACAGCCTTTAGCTACCAGGACCAACATAATTCAAGAGACAAACTCATACCACCAGACAATGTATATTGTTCTTAAAATCACCAGTCTACTCCATAAAGATTTAGCTTCCTTGCTTTTGTTCATGTCCCCCATTTTTCATAAATGCAAATATGCCCACAAACCAACTGATAATAAAACAAGTCACCTCTGCGAACACACTTAGTCTTCTCTAAATACTCAGATAACCTGATCTTTGCAGTCAAAGGGGAAGCAGAGAACACCAGGTTATTTATTTTTTTTAACCCTGGATGCAAGACTATTTTATTCCATGTAGGGGATGTGCTTAAAGGTTTTTCAGAGCGCACTGGCTTCAGTCTGATGAACTGTATAATGAACCACACCAATCAAGAGGGGATTATTGAAATTACAGCTACCAGACTGTGGCTGATGGTTTTGTCACATTCTCTTAAAGAATCAGCGTGTTTGGTTTTATACTGATATAAAAATATACCTATTCAGCTTCACAAAGCAAACCAAAAAAAAGTCCTTAGCTGACGAAGCACTGTAAAAATCACAGGTGAGGTTCCTTGACAAGTAGAGCATTTCTCAAAGGACCAAAGCTTGTCAAAGCACTTCTGTCTTACTAGCAGTGACAGTTTTTTGGCTGGGCTGATGTTCAACCTGCAGTCTTTATTGAATAAGCAACCTTTCGCTGCTTATTCAGGTTAGGAATCAAGAGGTATTTAAGTCTGATGTGATGAACAAGGGCTACCCACAGCTCTGCACAGCTGAGCTGCAGGAGAGGAATTTTGGGCTGTTGAAGTTTGCCTAATATAAGAATTGTAACCATCGTTAGGGCATAGGCACTGTCAGCATCGCTTGGTGACTACTGCTCTTGCCAAACATACTTCACTAGCAATCCCTACCACAAGGAGCCTCCTCTCCTGTTTGTGTTGGTAGCTCTGCACACAGCACATGCACAGAAGTAGGAATTCTAACTCCATGGTTACTCTATGGACAAATGGAAAACATTTTAGTGATGATTTTAGTTATTTTTTTCTTAATAACATTTTTAACTTTCACATACAAAGCATTTTTATCAAGTCTTTATTTCCAGATCTGTCCTCTTTAGCACGGTTCTAGCAAGCAGAATATTTGGCAAGTATGAGTTTCCCTGCAACAGAGCTGCAAGCTCTAAGATGCTAATTAATCTCTGTTCACAAACTTGCCTCTGTGAGGAGCTGAGGCACAGAGGGCAGAGAAGAGGTGGAGAACTTTGGTGAGCTGCCAAGTGAAGAATTGTATTTGGCTGGCAAAAACTACCTGCTTGGCTAAGCTTCATGTGAACACAGCAAAACCAGCAGAACTAAATGCAAGCAGAGAAGTAGTCTACAGAGCCATGAAACAAAAATATTCTGGGAAAACTCTCCTTGTTCTCTGTACTATCTACACATCCAAAGTCCATTTCTGCTACATTCCATCACTGTAAATCTCCTTTTAATATCTTCATTGCAGCTGGCCTAATTAAAAGATGGCAAATTGCATAAATTAGGGTCTGAGAAGTTTCCAAAAATTCACTGAAGTTTTCGTCTTCCAGGAACCAACAGCAGATTTTGCCAAGTGGGAACAGTGCCTTTGTAATGGGCATACTTTGCTTATCCAGAGACCTGGATCAAATAATTTATTAGAAGACAAACCAGAGAACACTATAACCACCCAATTTCAGTGGTCAAAAATGTCTCAAGGTTTAAAACGTTCAAGATCAGTCCATAACTCTTTAAGGGGCAGCCCAACTCCACGAAGACATCTTGCTGAATATGACTGCCTGCATGCAAAGCAGCACCTCCGGGGGTCAGGAGCCACTGAAACTAAACAAAACCTCTCTCACCAGTACGCCGGGGCTCCACCTTCTGACACAGCTATTTGCCACTCAAAATCTGATCACTGATCTATCCTTTCATACTCTTGAATAACACTGTAGAACTCCCTAGAAATAATTCCTTTTTGAACCAAAGCATGCCTCTTTTTTGAATCCAGTTTTGGTTTAAAACTAATTCAGCAGTGAAGAATGCAGTAACACTAATTTAAAAAATTTAAAAAATTTTTTTACCTTAATTTGTGACACTTCAGTTTCTACCACAGAATCCCTTCATACATTTTTCTACGTCCTATAAAAGGGAGGGGATATGTGGAAATATGTGGAGTATATAAAAGTCAGTGAAACTCTGTTTCCCTTAACTGGGGCTATTATTTTAGCTCTGAACTTCAGTGTCCCACGTACTTCTCAGATGTGTTTTCTTTGTTTTCATTGTTCAAACTCACACAGCAACCACAAAAAATTCGGTTTGAGCTGTGGTCTTAGGCCATGGTCCTATTTTTCCTAGAGAATTAAATTCATTAGAAGCATGTGAAAATGGTCTGTATTATTACAGGTGACATCATCAATGAAATGCATAAGGAGAGTGCCTCGACCAACACACGGTGCAGTCCCAAGCATCAGCTGTCTTGGAAGTGCTGCTTGGTTCCTATCACATTCAGTTGTTAGAGCAGTTTTCCCTGAAAGTTTATAGTAGGAACTACCAGATTCATCTCAATTTCAACATCCCAGAGCAACTCATTGGATGAACCACAGGCATAATCACAAGAAAAACACAAGAGCAGACTCAGTCTGCATTGCAATATGGCAGAGTTGCACTACAGATATTACAGAATCACAGAATGGTTTGGGTTGGAAGGGACCTTAAAGACCATCCAGTTCCAACCCCCCTGCCATGGGCAGGGACACCTTCCACTAGACCAGGTTGCTCAAAGCCACATCCAGCCTGGCCTTTATGAGCAGAGCAAAGCTTCAGGGATGCAGGATGGGGAGCAGCTTAGGAGACAAGAGGCTCAGTGCCATAGGGGAGCGGCGTGCTGCTGCTGTTTCTCCCAGCAGTGACCTGCAGAGCTAATTAAGCAGTACTGCTGGTACACCGTGAAGGAGGTCCTTTAGTCCTGTTAATCAAAGCTTAACTGCTCTCAAGGGAAAGGCAATTATAAGGGAAAACTAGTAATAAGCCACAATAAATGTTCCACCCGTTAAAACAAAACATACCTAGGACAAAACCATCAAGAGGATGAGAGAATGCAGTAATGGAAGGGAAGTGAGAGAAGGGAAGAGACAGGTACCTACTTTCTTGGATCTGCTGGTTGATTAGTGCTTGATCATTTTCTAGTTCCTGCTCTGCCTTGATCTGTCCTCTCAGGATCTGCTGCTTTAAATCCTCAACATAGAGTTGCTGCTGTTGAATTTGTTTCCTGTGGAAAGCTTCCTGGTCTCTCAGTTTCTGTTTGTATTCTTCATGCACAGCATCTATTTCTCTGCTGTTGGAAATGTTGACAGTGAATTTAAACCAGAAATAAAGACCAAATATTTGTAATAAAACAAGTCATCTTACTAAAAAGACAGACAACATTCAAGATACTCTTTTGTTCAAGAAGGGTGTATTATGGCAAAAACTCGTGATGGCAAAGTAGCTGTGTATATGCATTTCACAGCAGGCTACAATCCTGTAAGTATCATAAATGTCAGCAAATGAAAGCTCCCATGGTGAAGCAGAAAATTCCAGAAAGATAATAGCAAAAAGAATTTTTAAAAATATTGTTAGTTTTCATTGCATTGTAGATCCTCCAAAAATTAAACCGGGGGTGGGGGGGGGTGTTTATATGTTACAAAATTCTATAACCACTATATAGGATGTAAGATGTTTACCATCTAAGGACTTCAAAGCACTTTACAGAAATGACATTCTTCTCTGTTTTCAGATCAAAAGTCTCCAATCTAGAAAGGGTTACAGGCATTGTTGAGATTACACTGACTGTCTCTGGCAATACCAGGGAAATAACTCAATCATCCAATTCTCTGTTAGATACAACAACTATATTAGGTTACTGCTTCTATACTTGAGCAGACCTGTGATCAGAGAAGTCACTACTCTGTGAAAAACTGTGAAAAACAGTCCCCTCCCAATATGTTTGGTTCCTGACTGTGTACCAAATTTTTACATGCACGCACAAAGAATAACAATCAAAACAGTATCTATTTGTAGTATGTTCCATGATAACATTCAGAATACATTAACCCTCTGAATGGAATATATGGTCTACCTGTCCACATACTGTCATCAGAAATTATTTACATTAAATTTGTATTATATACAAAGGTGATATTTAATCTTTGCTTATTGTTTTGTTTCTAAACACCACATTATTATATGTAATCTCAGAAAATTTGTCTTGAAAAATACTTAATTATTTTGTTAATTAAGTAGATTATTTGTTGAAATATATTTATTATACTTTTAAAGAGAGCAAAGGTATCAAAACTCGTAAGAGTCCCTGAAGGTCAAAAGAAAACAAATATATAGTTTGAAAGGGAACACTTTGGAAACATCATGTTTGTGAAATCATTTCCAGTACAAGTCACCTGCATGAAAAGAGCATTTGACCTTTTCTACATAGGAATTTATTTGACATCTCTATTTAGAATCGTAAGTATGTGCTCAATGCAATCATTTCTACAGCAACAGCTTTGATTCTGTGTGCCAGATTAGCAGACAAAACAGATGAAACACTTCAGCAGCCAAAGCCTACGTGTGTCCTGGAGCACCTTTACATGGAACATCCATTTCACTTTTTTAAGCAGCAGTGGGAAAGCCTTGCTACACAAAAGCCTTAAGATTCTCAATAATTGACAATATTACTGTGACTCGCTCACCTGAGGAAAACAGAATTCTGTTGTTTTTTAATGTTTATGTAAATGTAATGCTGGTGGGAATAACTGAAGAGGAACAGCTTCTGGTCATTTGTCTGGCAGGGTGCAAGCAGTCAGAGTAGAAACTTCGCTACTGTCATCTGCTAAATGCCTTGTGATTGTTTGGGACCCGCAGGAACAAATTATAAGAATAGGCAGACGCAGTTGTCCTTGGCTTGACTATGAAGATGCCAACAATCTGTGATTTGTAATTTTTTCCTCTTGCATAAACTTTAATTGATCCCCAGGAAATAGCAGGGAGATGCCTCATTTCTCCTTCAGCTGAAGTAGGTTTGAAATGACAGCTCCCTGCTGCACCGAAACGCTCCTGTGGCCATCACAAATCGCCAGCTGTTCAGGTATTTGCATTGCCAACAGATACTGGGGGACAAACTCAGAGGTTAAAGCTAGACAGGTTACCTAAAGAAGAATCACTTTTCAAGCATCGTATTAAATCTGAAGGATCTCGTTTAGGAAAAGCTCCCATGGTTTTAATGATAACTCGTAGAGAGGCTTTCCCTGAATGCGGCTTCCAAGTTATCTTCCATATTTTCCAAGGGAAGTGTAATGGAGCAGCAAATAATCTGAAGGTTTAAGTACCGAGGCAGAAAAGCTCTCTGGTTTTGGAGCAGTTACATCACCACTGTGCTTCCATGTACTCCGGCTGCAATGTCTTCAGGAGGAGGACTGCCTCTGGATGCCCATGCACCAAACCTAACAGAGCCTGATGTCAGCTGAAGGCTCTTCCAGCTGACACGTTAAAAGTAATAAACCTTAATAGCAACTGTAGGTGTTAAGTCTCAGCAAATGTTCTGATGATGGGGTAGTCTTTAACCTGTTTTGCTAACAGACACATAAAAGCTCTGATTCCTAAGCTGGTCTGAAAGCTGAAAAATGTGAGTCTGCATTTGTTACCGCACCTTGCATGACCTTGGACAAGTCACTTAGTCTGAGACATGAGTGAATGTACTTCTTTCACACAAGAGGAGCGATGAGGATCCATTAACATGATCAAATATCAGAAAGTCAAGTATCAGAAGAGCTGATGTCTATTAATTTATCATTATTAGCACCATTCCATGTAAGACTGAGGTAACTGAATAAGTCATTGCTAATAAGGCTGAAAAGTGGAGCCGGATAGTAAAACAGCAGGCAACGAATTCTTGTCTTACACCTCTTTACTATAACTAGGTAAAATAAAATTCCTCTTACAAAATGTCTCATCCTTCCTAACCATGACTTTTAGCTCAGCCATCCTTTCCATAAAATCGACCTGTCAGAGTTCAAACTATTTACAGTTTGAAACCCAGAACATTTGAGTATGTGAAACAACTCAGTCTTGCATTTCAATCCAAAGGCTTCACAGTGCTCACAGAGGTGGTTACGTAACATCTGTTTACAGCTGGGAAAGGCTCACAAGCACTTCCCATACTTTTCCAACAATGCTGAAACATACTCTCACCCTCCATATATTATAAAGCATCAGAGAATAAGCAACACAAACAATGCTCATGGAAGCGTGTTGGTGAATTCCCTCGTGTGTGGCAATGGCTTTTTCCTGAACTAACATGAAACTTAAGATCCTTTTCAACAGGCATGTGTGTTTGCACACAGAGCAGAACATGACGCAGGCCAAACTGATGTCATTAATCAGAGCTCCACACTACAACTACCCCCCAAAAAGGCAGAGTACAGAGGCATACCCGTACTTCACTTTAAACCTTGGAAAAACAAACACAGCACAGCAAGCATCACAGTATTATTACTGCCTTTGGTGCAATTATTTCTCTCTAAGGTTAAAGTTCCTGTAATAAAATACTGTTGTTGAAGGTCTATTTACGAATTGCAGTTCTGTTGCTATTTCAGTGCCTCTTTGCTTCACCCCCGTGCAAAACAAAACCCAGGCAGAGCAGTAAAGACAGTTCTGAATACAGACACTGAACATTAAACCCCTTTTTATGAAATTGCTTCTTAAAGATGGTTTTCTCAAGCGGAAGAAAAAGATAATGAAAAATCATGCAGAGCCACTTATATAATACAGGTATGGCAGAGGATGGAGTGTTTTTCCTCTGGCTGTGAGACTACTGACTGTGACAGCAAAATGACTGGCTGGTCTGGGATACAGATCTGTCTCTCACAGAAACTGCTGAATCCAGCCCCATGAAGTAAGAACCCTTTCTACCTTTGAACATGCTATGTCACGTCGACATGCTCTTGCTGGTTTGTGAAAATAACACAACTAAACTAAAAAATGAGGTGACAACAGCCCAGAAAGAAAATAACAGATTCATACGCACTTCATAAATAGGTCACCTAATAGACAGTTTAAAGAACATCAGTTTGTGTAAAATATTTTTTAAATTATTAACATAAAACCAAATATAAATCCAGTTAACATAACAACTTAGCCATATTCTGAAATAGGTAGATGAGATCACTCATTTCTTTAATCTAAAACATTTTAAATTAGCTGTACTGTTAAATTTAGACTTGAAATACAGGAATACTATGAGATACAGGAATCAAGCACAGACTAATTTTTGCTATTGCTTGTATTCCTGCCTTCCCATCTAAGCAATCTACACCCGGCACAGTTCTAGCAGGAAATAATACCACCTCAGGACAAACATAAGACAAACAGCTTCATTTCTGTAGGGATCAAGACAGACATAAAATCTTGGTTTCACGGGACCAGCACATCCTGGCATACAGCATAAAACTAAAAGCAACCCTGCGCAGAATTTCATAACAACATGCAGTGTACCAAATGCAGCAAGAACTGTCAACAGTTACCCCTCCTCTGAGTAAACCTTTAAAAAGAGCAAGTAAAATTACAACAACAGAAAGGCACCAACCTTAAACTAAAGATAATCACAAATTACTGAGGAAATTTTCATATTATACCAGTGCTGCTGGATTGTTTTTCCACCTCATTTTTCTCTCCACAAAGTTTGCATGACGCATGCTAAATGAACCATCCGTAAATCCACATTTTTTTCCAGCCTGTTTTGTCGTCAGCTCTCCGGGATCCTATTGTGCAATTCTCCTCCCCTCTCCCCCAAACACTTCTACTGCTGATGCAGAGGCTGGCGGCTGCTACAGCATAATGCAGTTTTCAGTAACTATGGCAGCAATAGCTCTGTGGTGAGGCTGAATGCCTGCTGCAACAGAATCTTAAGGCTCAAATAGAGAAACTCACGTGTAAATCAACACTGTTGCTAGAAGCTGAAATTTGCCAATTTTCCCAAAGGAAACATCAGTCAAGTGAGCATCCCCATCCTTCTTTCTGCCTAGTGTTCGAGCCCTATTTTCTTCTACAAATGCTTTTCCAGGGGAAGAAGAGTTAATGATGAAGCAGAAAAAGGAGATGTTGGCAGGGCATTTTGCAAATCCCAGCACTGAAAGCAGTCACAAGTCAGGGTCACAAGCCACTGATATACATCCACCCCTGCTTCATCCTCCCCTCCACCCGTGCCCAACCCGGCGCCCTTCCCACAGGGGCTGAGAGCATTACACAGCAGCAGCACGGGATCGTACACCTCCTTCTACCTAACACAGAGGCTCCAACCTCTCCCTGCTCCCACCTAAAGCAAAGTGAAGACTGACAGAGGAGATGTGAAGACCTTGTCTTAGCACCTCCTCCAGCCTCCTGAAGCAATGCCACTCACACAATTCAAAGCAGAATTTGGGGGTTAGGGGACAGGAGGTACCAGGGGGTAGGAACTAGGAATCAGTCAAAACGGTCAGCAGAGGCAGAAACCTTTAGAAATAAGGAACTTTTGGTAATGTGCACACAGAGGAATCCCCTCCAGTGAAGTGACCATCAGGTGAAATAGCATTTGGATTTTTGATTAGCTGGTTTGCTTACAGAAAAATTAGACCTATGGATTTTTTGTTGTTTGCTTGGAGATTTTGGTAGGGGGGAGTGGGGGTGGGGGTGTCGTGTGTTTGTTTTTTGGTGGTTTTTTTGTGGGACTTCTTTTATCTTTTCATACAAAACCTCTTTTTTTCTTCTTTTCCTACATCCCCCAAAACAACAGTAAGGCAACAACTTAATATAACAATTTTTTAAATAACCTTTCCAAAAGCGACCTCTCTTTGGCAAGGAGTCACCGACACAACACACACTCCAGTAAAGGTCACTGCTGCCTTGCTAAATTCCAGTTCAGCTGGAGCTCCAATCTATCGGAGGTTTTCCCCCTTATGATTTCAGTTATATACAGAATCAGTTAGTTCCCCTGCTAACTGACCGTATGCGATTCTGCTGGCAGTTGCAGAGTTGCTGTAATTAAACACAGTGCATTTCTCTGCAAAATGAAATATGGGAGGGATCTTTTAAGAGATGCAAAAGGTTTGTTTAACTTGCATTAGTAGAGCACTTTGAATTTTTCAAATGAAAGGTGTTAGTAAGAACTCATGAGTAATATTTTTACTGATATTAGTTGCATGTGTTAACTATACCACATCAGAATAGTAAGTGTTGTGTTCTCCAGCATCTGATGCTATATCTACAGCACTGTTTCCTTTCCAGTTCAGTAGAATTTCACACATTCTTAGTAGAATTTTTTAACAATATTGATATTTTCAAGGAAAAAGAACTTAAACACGTTCCAAGCAGCTAATTCAGTGTACTGCTATACCACTGAACTCTAATGGAACAACTCCTGTTTTTTTTCAAACCAGCAAGAGAACAAAATCAGAACTTATATTTATATGCAGTATGGTATTAAGACAATGACAGGAGCATGAACTTCATTATCTACTTATTTGTGGTGATGCTGTCGTAATGTATTCAAGATTGGTGATGCCAGTCACAAGCCCTCTGTGTGTTTGCTACCTGGCAACAAACAGCAGAAGTTGCAAGGGCTGGGGTACTGAGTAGGGTGTACGAGCAAAAAGCCAAGTAAGAGTACAATGAATCACACCCCTTTCCAAGGAAAGTTTCATGCCTAAATTATAATATTGAATATTTGCAATGGTGGAAATTTGTTTTCTCTCTCATTCCTCAAAATATTTTAACATACAATTAGAGGCTGAACTGGTATTTCAACCCATGGAAAGCAGGTGAGAAAAGTGTCACCACACTGACAGTATGGGAGATAAAACTATAAGTAATCATGACCATAATACAGATGGTCATATGTTCTGAAATAAAAAATACAGAAGAAAACACCTCTTCCATAAAGCCTTTTTCTTCACACCAGAACAGAACCCGATTTGTCCAAGGAATTTTCAATATACTAATGAGTATCCACACTACCTACTACTGACGTCAAATTTAGTATATTTTAGGGTTCGTGTAAATTGGTGGCAGCTTCAGTGCAAACCCCACCCTAGTCATGGCTTTAAAATACAGCATGATTTAGACACATTAACATTCTTACCTTAGTTCAGGACAACATCTGTTTTCTTTACAGATTCTACATTTTTGACTGTAAAAATAAAAACAGGAAATCATAAAGATATTCAGAAAGAAGGCAAAAAAAGTTCACTGAAGCCTATTATACACAGAGATGTTACTGTAATTTTCAGTGGAGCAAGACTAAGATGTAGATTGCTAGCAGCTGGGAAAGCATCAACAACTACCAAGTGAGAGGGGAGAGAGACACACACACAGCTTGCCCCTTTCCTGTATTTTCCTCTAATCATCTTTTCTGACAGAGACAAGACCCAGTACTAGGCGGACTTTCTATTGACAAGCAAATGAGCCCTCCCTGTAGTCCAGTTAGCCTTATATTACTGTTTGCAAAGTCCCTTGACACAACTTTTAGTATCTGACGACTTTTCTTCACACAAGCTGGACATTTGAGGGACTACATATATCTTGCTTTATTCTCCTATTACAGATCTCAGGCTAGATGTCTCAGTTATAACCTACATGAGCAAAACTATCTGTCTGGACAGAAACAGAGGTTTTCTGGTTACCGTAGGAAGGTTGAATGGATCAATTCAGTTTAATTTTGAAAAAAAAATAAAAACCTACTCAAGAAAGAAGAAAATACCACTGGATTATGTAAGGTGAATTACAACTAGTGTTAGACACAGTTTGTAGCTTTTTCCTGTAAGAGGTAGACATTCATAAAAATCAAGTGAATGCAATATGATAATGCTTTTCATTTTCACTGAAGTGACCATTTGAAACACTCCAGGTAAGTATGAGGGTAATGTCAAGCAATGTGATACGCACAGTCCTGTGATTAAAAAAATTGATCAACTCAAACCCACCATCTGAACATGGTCTGGAAAAAAAATCAGTCAAAAACATTCTTCAGTCAGGTTAAAAAGGAGAAAACTAAGTGCAGTTCTGTGCTAAACTGTTGACAATGCTTCGGGATTTCTGCGGGCTTCTCTAGGACCATCAACAAATTTCCATGACAAAAGCTGCACCTCTGATGTTTATACTCATGTAAAGAGCGAGTGGGTATTTACTTGGTATTTTTGAAAGTCGTTAGACAAACACTTATTTTTAAATTATTTGTAACTCTTACAAAGAAAATAACAGTAGCAATGTGTAAAATGTACCTCAGTAAAGAAACAAAATGAAATACTATTTTGTATAGAAAGGTATCACTGCAGCAAATGAAAAGTAAACATAGAGATTAGATACATTAAAAGAGACACGCAGAAACACACTGTCCAAGGTGGAAAGCGAGCCAATTGACTAGAAGTATGAAAAGTTGTTCAAAACAGAGATAACATTTTATGTTCATAAAACCAAGAGGAGATAATTCCTTTAGAGAGAGATAGAGTCCCAGTATGTTGCCACATCAAAAACACTCTAGCAAGAAGCAGAACTATCAACAGATATGAAAGAGAAGATGGCTGTTTCTTGCCTTTAACAGGTCAATTGAATGTGCCAGGCTGAGAGAAATTAAAAAAGAGAAAGAACCCAATTACATTTAATTCTGTGATATTCTGCTTTCAATGTTATGAACTGAAACCCAGGAGACATCTTAATTCATGTTCCTGATACATATTAATTACTCTCTTCATCACACCAATTATTTCCCTTTCAGAACGGCTCTGCCATGGAAAACATACACTAGGCACTGTGAGTATGAGCAGCTCTTCAACATTTTGGAAGCAGTCTATGCCTTATTTACTGCTCAGTTTTAAAAAAAGAATCTCAATGGCTTTGAAGATGGAGGGCTCAATGAGGACTTAAACTGAAGGGAATTTATGAACAAAACAACCTTCTGATTTCCACAACAAATTAGCAGGGAAACTGAATTGGCAATAATTACCTTGGCTAAATCACAATTCTTATCTAGAAAAGTAAGAATATTGAAGTAAGAATATTGTAAAAGCTATAGATTAGCTCATAAATCAAAATGGCTATAATGCAGATGTGCAAGTGAACTGAGGCTGTCAGACAGTCTCATCTGCATCACCTTCTTGATTGTGCATCGGTATTCACTGTTCATCAATAAATAATTTTTCAGGTTTGTTGCCTGGACATCATAACATTGTATGTTAGTTGGACGATGCATTTTCTCAGGCACTTTTATTCGAACACTTGAAAACATGATGGGACCTGTTCTATATACAACTCAGTTTTATCTGAACCAGGCCCTTGTTCAGACATCATCCAACATAAGAAATAATTTTTTCGTTTGTTTGTTTTAAACTTACTTGTCAAGAGAAGAAAGGATATAGTGAGGAGAATGGGTGCAATTTCCATCCAAGTTGAGCCAGTCCAAATCTCCACAACTCAGAATGGGTGGGGTTTCATGAATCTACAAAACACACAACATGAGAATGGGCATGAGAACATCACAGCAAGCCAGGAACTTCCAAGTTCATTAATACCACCATTGCTAACTACCTGTGCAATGCTGCAGGAGACCTCCCACTGAGTTAACAATCTCACTTACACTTTCAGTTAGTCTTTGATAATTTGCAAAATTGCTAAGTATTTGTTACTGAGTACACCTCTTTTTGCAGCTCTGTTTTAATGTACTGCATGTTTAATTAACCAAGAAATTACATATGAAAACAAACGGAAGTTAAGCCCCTTAACTACAGAAATGAGCACAAAAGGACAGTTGAGCAGAAAGTATAAAACATTACTATACGAAAATCCATTTTAAAAGGCAGATCCTTGCCAATACCAGTTGGTAATATGGCTATGTCGTAAGCCGGAAAATCTACATTCTTTAAGTTAGTTTTTTTAGTTATATATGCCAGTCATTTTAAGAATTATCTAAGTTTTTAAAACATTATTGAACTAGCTGACCAAATAATATCTTGCAGTAGTTAGTTCACATTACTATACGAAAATCCATTTTAAAAGGCAGATCCTTGCCAATACCAGTTGGTAATATGGCTATGTCGTAAGCCGGAAAATCTACATTCTTTAAGTTAGTTTTTTTAGTTATATATGCCAGTCATTTTAAGAATTATCTAAGTTTTTAAAACATTATTGAACTAGCTGACCAAATAATATCTTGCAGTAGTTAGTGAAATTTGCAGTGAAATTCAAAGAATCTGAATTTGCAGTAGTTTGCAGTGAAATTCAAAGAATCATAGAATCATTTAGGTTGGAAAACTTAAGATCATGAAGTCCAACCGTTAAGCCAGCACTGCCAAGTCCACCACTAAACCATGTCCCTAAGCACCTCATCCACATATCTCTTAAATACCTCCAGGGATGGTGACTCAAACATCCCTGGGCAGCCCGTTCCAATGCCTGACAGCCTTTTTAGTGAAGAAATTTATATCCAATCTAAACATCCCCTGGTTCAACTTGAGGCCATTTCCTCTTGTCCTATCACTTGTCACCTGGGAGAGGACACCAATCCCCACCTCTCTGCAACCTCCTTTCAGGTAGTTGAAGAGAGCAATCAGGTCTCCCCTGAGCTTCCTCTTCTGCAGGCTGACCAACCCCAGCTCCCTCAGCTGCTCCTCACAGGACTTGTGCTCCAGACCCTTCCCCAGCTCTGTCACCCTTCTCTGGACACGCTCCAGCATGTCAATGTCCTTCTTGCAGTGAGGGGACCAAAACTGAACACAGGATTCGAGGTGCAGTATTACCAGTGCCGCATACAGGGACACAATCACTGCCCTGGTCCTGCTGGCCATGCTATTTCTGACACAAGCCAGGATGCCGTTGGCCTAACATACCAAGAATTTACCTGTTTCTGATGTATGTAACAATTAAGTGCTTTCCGAGGCAACAATACTCAAGTACTTAATCCCTTAAATTTTCCATTTCTTCTAGTATACCTCATTTGGGATGGTGAAATGACAGATAGTGAAGATAATTCAGAAAATTATCAAATGTAGAAATGTTCTTAACTGGTCTTTTCACTGCGGAATTCTGTCTTTCTGTTTCAATACTACTGTAGTCATGACTAGAAATAGGAAACACTAAATTATTCAAGGGATCTGCATCATCTTTTGCTAAGTACATCTGAAAGAAGCATTAGTGTCCTCCCACAGAAGGTTTAGTGCCATTACAGACCATTAGATGGAGGAAATGAAGCAAGTGAATATGATGAGAAGAAATACTATCTGCATCAGGCTTGCTTTTAAGAGGAAAAATAATTAGGAAAATCAATGAAGAATTAGGAAAGAAAAATACAGTTTTAGAACTTACTGATCTTCTTTGTCTTAAGATAGCAGCTTCTGCTGGGTGATTGAATCTAAACTTGTGAGACTTGCCAAGAACAACAAGGGCCCCTGTGAAAAAAAATTAGTTAGAAATCTACGGAGACCTAATTCATCAAACAGTTGGCCCCTAGAATGTTAGCAGCTTCTTAACTCCAGTAAACAGGCTACAGCATATACAAACTACTACAGAACAGTATGTTAAAAAAAAATAATTCTGACCAACAGCTTTCTCACCATCATAGAGCAGAGAGCTATTTTTAAAATTTGCCACTATGGAACAGCAGAGCTATGATTCTGTAATAACAGCACCCAAGCAAAATAATCTTGGAGATCTCTGCAAACTCAACATAACAGTAAATTTCCTGTTCATATGAAAGACCAGCATGACTTCATTATCAAAAATATAATCAACCTACTGTTGGAAATTTGGGGTTGCAGTGACCTGGATATTAAAAAGAAGATAGCGTAAGTTCCCAGGAACTGGATTTTTTTTTTTTAAAAACAACTTGAAAATAGTTGGGTGAAATGGGCTTCTGACTACAGGTCTTGCCTTTTCAGAAGGCTGCAGACTACTGCTGCCAAAAGTGGGTCCTAATATTGTCACCTATGTCTTCACTTTACTTTCTGTAGGGTAGTTAATTAATTTGTCCCAGTCTAGAAGCTGTAGCTATGGATCAAACCTTGTGGTGCTAGGCAGGAATAGGAGACAGAGATGTAGTTCTTAAACCTGCACGAGTTCCATAAATCCTTGTCTCTAAACTCCAAAGGTAAGTTGATTATGATGCAGCATTCACAGAAAAATCAAGCCTTACCTTGTGAGAGTCGACATGATCCAGTGACTTCACATCCATTCACAGTGCAGTGTGCGCCCTGAACTGGTCGCAGTGTCACAATCCCACAGTTGTTATCTATCATACAGTGGTCCTTTTCAATCCACCGTCCCTGCAAAACTACGATGTATAGATTTGTTTTATCTCACCTGTCAATGGGGTTGGGCTTGCACTATTTTCCTCAGAATGAAGTACCACGCACTGTTTGACACTATGACCGCATACTTCATACCTCAGAAAACTATGTCATATGCAGAACAAGGAGATTAAATTGCCAATTCATTTGACTGCTAGCCCAGTACTCAATCACAGAAAAAACTTACTTGATTAAAAAAAATGAGATTGCTCTTTTAAAGAATTTCTGGTTCTGAAAAACTATATGATAATTTCTGATTCATAAGCTGATGTGCAAATTCTTCTATTGTGTTGAATTTTCTTATTGCTATTGTGGCATTTATTCTTTATATTTTACTAGTCTATCAGAAGAAATGAATCAAATATAATCAGATTTAGCAAAAGTAACCAAAGCTGAGATTCCACAAAATTTCCAACATCAGTATAAAGTTTTAATTCTGTATCATTGTTTGTACCTCTAGAGACTGACTATTAAAATTAGGAGTAGAAATGCAATTAAGTAAAAAAATATTCCAAATAATTCTGATTTTATATCTACAGTACTCTGCCCAAGTAGTGCTGAAAAGCATTTTTAATGTCTCAATCACTTGTGCCCCTAGTTTAGGACAGAACATACCAAGATTTGGATGATGGATTTTTAAACTCCAGTATAACATTTCACAGGTGGGAAGACAATTCCAAGAATATCTCAATTAAGTCAAAATCATTGACTTCTTGACCTCTTAAATAAAACCAAAAAATAACTGAAAGATTTTAGCCAACTTAAACAATTATTCTCTTCTATTTACATTCTTTTATAACGAAAGCTGACAAACAGAAATATTAGCTAGCTATTACACTTGACAAACATAAACCTCTTGGTTTGACCTGACCATATCATAAAATAACTTGTAATATAATTCTCTTACCAATGTCTTGATCTTGGTCTGAATCACTTCTTCCAATTTTGGTTGTTCCTTCCTAAAACAAGAAAATAACTAATTTAAAAATCAGTTCCTGAAAGCGGATCATATATAATGATTAAAAATGTTTTGGTACAGCATCTTAGCAAATACGTGAAATAAATCACCTCTGAATGACTGAATTCTTTAGAACAAACTCTACCTACTACTTCGTAATACGTCAGCCTGCTGTCCCCCATCGCAGTGCTTTTACTACTTATCCTACAGCTATGTCAGTTTCTCCTATTACTACACTAGTAGATGAAGTAACCCTTGGTGGATATTTTTGGGCTGTGACTGAGACAAATATTTTGATTCACACGTTCTGATGCTTTGAACTTTTACAGCAAGACTTCCTGTTTGTCGAAGCAAGATAATTCTTTTTATAAAGATCCCATGCAGGAAAAAAGAAGATGCAAAATCATTATGCGGTTAATCAGTATTTTCAGACATAAAAGTAACAGAATTCCTATTTTGTCAGGGAACTTTGTCATGGATTATGAATTCTTCAAACTAACTACTAAAGGAGAACTTTCTCCGAAAAATTAAACTACATTTGTGAAAACTCTTCTTGGTGGTTATGGTATAGGGGCAAGTTCCCAAACCTGAAGATTCAGTAACTGCAAAGGGATAAAAGTCTCCAGAACAAGCAGACTCAAGCCACACTATGGGCCAGCGATGGAAGGCAGATAGTATTCTTATGATACAGTACAAATATGAATAAACCAGTAATTTAATCAATACTATGAGAAAAAACTACCCAAAAAAGCAATGAATTTGCCATCTGCCTAGTGTGTTCCGTTACCAATTCTATCTTTTTCCTTAGGAAAACAAAGCAAGATCATTTCCGAGCTCTGAAGAGACAGTCTACTTGATTACTGTAAATTGATTAGTGAAGGCGCCCTAAAATGACTTACTGGCAAATCTTTCAGTCATATTAAAATTAACTATGGTAATTAAACTACTGGATTTTTGTATTCTAACTAGAATAAATGGCATACGCATCATACTCCAAGCATATTATCACTCAAATGTAAAGATGAAGCAAGTAGCAGTGATTGGAAGCCTGAAGACTGGGAAAAGGAAAGCTGTACCTTACTGTAAGATGATGCAGTTACAGGTAATTATGGGTACATCATAGTGCTTTTGTGCATTGGAGGGAAAGGGAATGATTATCATCCAGTTCCTCACAGAGCTCAGCTACCTGAACCAACTAACAGACTCCTCTGCGACAAGCTCTGATGAGACTCCTTTGCTGGAGAGACTGAAAACTGGATAGTGCTCAGTTCCCCTGCTTTGGAGTAATTATCAAGATACACATCAGCTTAACATCCAGTGGACTTAACCACAAAATATCCACCTGGCTTGGCCACAACTTCTAGAAAACTTATGATCCATATGGCCTTTGACTCACACCTCATACTATCAAGCGAGTTAGCAACATGTATTTTATACAAAGAGGAGGAAACCAACTCCTGAAAGACCTCTTTCTCTACTCTCTTCTTGTCTAAGCAAAGAAATAGTTATTCTAGTTCCAGAAGAAACTTTTTTCCAGTAGGCTGAAGCAGCTCCTTGGTAATACAATTGAATTCAGAAAAGTGTATTACAGCAGTATAGGCTCCTGAAATTCACAGTAGTATCCCAATTAGAGGAGTAATTCTGGGTGAGTTTAAGTACAACAAAAAATTGCAGCTGAGAGCAAGGGCACAGCAAACTAACTCAACTTAAAGAAGAAAACAAAACAAACAGAGTCACAGCCCAGGCCTATAACAATTTCATTTTTTTAAATGCTATCACTGAGCTAATAATTTACATATTTATAGTCTTTCTTAATTTTATATTGAGTATTCTACCTGAAAATTTGAAAGACAGATGATTCAGGTGAAATGATCTCACAACTTCACCTTCATGTATTAAGGTACACCTTCATATCTCTGAAGTGCTTTTGCATTGTTGCCCTCTTTTCTGGCAGTGTTTCCTGACTAAGGGTAGAATTCCCAAGGCATAGTATAGTGCCAAAGAGTATGAGATTACTTTTCCCCTTCAGTTTTAGGAGTACTCCAACTTTCAGAAAAGCTTGTGAAGAAAAAGTACATCTTTTTCTAAAACAATATAAAGATCCCATATTTTTAAGCTATGCAAAAAGATCAGTTAAACTATAGGGAAAACCTGTATTTTTGTTAATGAAAGTCAGAAAAAAAGAACAGAACCTAAGAAAGAAAGGTTCTTTAAGCACAGACACAGCATTGATTAGTGCAATTAATACTATGGACCATCAAGTGATGAAAAGAATAAGACAATGTTTATTCAATGTGATCTGGGAACTGCTGCCACGGCCTCTCTAGAAGTACAATGTCAAGTGCTGTTACATACTGATGCCCTAATACGTAAGGAACTGCTAATGTTTTACCTTCTTGTTGTTCAGATGAAGGTAACAGACACCAGAGTCTAAAAGGTGCAAAGCACAAAGAAAAGAAAAGGCAGCATCTAGGAGCAAAGAAAGAGGGGACAAAGATGTTAGTGTGACAGAGAGACACTAATGACTTCACAAGGTGACCCTTCAAACTAGGTTTCTCCATTAAAATTAGTATCTTTGAATTACTGTAGGTGTTGGCAAAATTAGTATGTGAAAATATTTGCTGTTTCCAAAATGGCACATAATAGAAAAATATTTGATATTAATTACTTCTAATAGGAATTTAATGTCAATGTAGGATTGAGCAGTTCAAGTTGCATGTAGATCAGAACTGGACATTAATACTTGTTCTCTAATTATTACCTGGTACAATTTCTTTGAGCTGGCATGAGAAAAATTAGTAAGGTTTCCCTTTCAATATGATAAAGAACAACATGATTTCTTTTTCAAATATTTGTTGCAGCCTTTTAACAGGGGGAAAAAAAAAAAATCCTGTGTTCCTAAACTATATCACGTAGCACAAAACCTAGATTTGGATTAAGATATTTTATTAGTGGACAGATACAAGATTTTCAAGCATATTTAACAAATTCTTTGCTCATGAGTGTACCTCTATAGAGATGCCCATCCATCATTCCTTTTATGTTAAACAGCATCAATATTTTGGCAATTTCCATTCATTTAAACAACACTAAAAAGTCTAGTTTAGCACTGACTTATTAAACAAAAAAATCCCCTGAAACTATTTGACCTAGCCATGCACATCGTAAGCCACAACATACAGTAACATACATACAATGTCATGGAAGTTTCTTGGTGAAAACCTTGTCTTAAATGAGCAGCTACACAGCAAAACAATGCCCATGAGGCCAGGAATTCTACCTGATCCTGGAAAACAGCCACTCAGGTGGGATAACAAGCAATTAGCACTTGAACTACACACCTGTAATCTATTTGGCAGGCCTGGTAGGGTTAAAAGAGCCATATATAGAAGTCATAGCCAAAGTGAGCTTGTGCTTGTTAAAGCTTACTTTTATCTTGGATCTATGCATAGTAGATCCAAGTAATTCTAGTCTTAAGGATACAAGTACCTAGTAAAATCTGGACTTGTATGTCTGGTATACTTCAAGCACCATCCTTTACGCCTACACACACACATGCACTCACACCTGTCCTCATGCTTTGGGGACAAACTATTAATGTCTAATTTGAGTATTCTACTTATGATACATTATCAAATAATTTGCACATGCATTTATAAGAGGTCAACTTCTTATTCCATACATGATTTCTTCTCCTCCTCCACTTTCATGTATCCTTTTCTGGTTTTTTTTTCCCCCCGTTACCTGTGTCCTGTGGGCTGTGGCCTTTCCTTTTGGATAGTTGTTGTTGTAATGCCACTTCAAGCAGTCTACGTTTCCAAAGAAAACAAGTGTTTTCAAAAACAAAGGAAAAAATAAGAGAAATGACAGTATCTCACCCTGAGATGATACAGCACCACTCCTGTGCTGAGGATATCATCATCCATGGCCATTAGATGAGGTAAACTAGAATCTATCGTTACTCCAGCTTTTTCTTTGTTGATGTCCACACTGTATTCTTCCATGATGGCTTTCCTGTCTGTCCACTTACTTGTCCAGTCTTTGGTCAATTGCTCAATCTTAAAGAATAGGAGAGGACACTGTTTCACCTACTAAGCAGGTTAACTTTTCTCATACATAAATTTCTTCAGAAAGAACAACTTTTTTTTTTCCAGTTACTGTGTGCAAAATTCTTTCACCAGTTGCAATGCAGGTGCACTTCTAATTGCAGTATATTTCTGTGGTGACAGAAGAAAAAACCCCCAGCTGGGTAAAAACTGTACTACCACCTACTGAAGCAGGTTTAATCTACTGAAGACTCACTCATTCCCAAAACATCAGAAAGACATATGATCATGCTAACCAGTTATTTTGCCACCTGTCTTCAAGAAAAACTTAATTTTAAGATCTCCAAAACCTTTCCGGCCACCAGTGATTAAATCTTCTTAGTAATTTGGTGATCACATGGCTAAAGCCCAACACAATGATTTCCTTTGAATAAAATGGAGGAGTTTAATCTTAGAAGAGAGAGGTTCTGTATAATGAACTACTGTAATCTATTGAAACAGCTTTCAAATAAGGAGTAGATTGCACAGACTTAGTGATATGCAATGGACAATATACCATTAACAACATGAAACTTTCATCACAAACTGGTAGAGAGAACCCAAAATGCATTAAGGATGGCGGTTTCCTGCCTATTCACAGCAAACAGAAAAGGATTAGGACAAAAACATTGTCACTGTGGTTTCAGAACTTCCTGGTCCAGTGAAACAGGAGAGAGTTACAGCATCAAAGAGATCATACATACCTTCATTTCATTCTGAAGAACCAGCTCAGTCAGATTTCCATCTCTGTCATCGCTCCAAGAAGGACTGGAATTCCTCTGTACAAAAAACAGCCACCAAGAGCTACATGTTAGTTTCCTTATTCACAACTAGCAGGCATGTTCTTTCACTGTCCAGGGTTTCAAGGAAATGCACTTGGGAGAAGGAAAGACAAAATACAAAGACATTGGATGCTGCCTTCTAGCATTTAGCCTACACCTCCCTAGCTATTGCATGCAAGCTTTTGTGAAGAACTGGTGAAAAAGTATTCACAAAGAGATATTTCCATGTAAATAAATCCTGCACTGTAGTTCCAGTCTCTCCCAGAAAAACATGTTCTCTGTGGCATGGAAAACCAAGATGCTATTATTATTCCAAAGGAGAAAAAACCAAAGAGTGTCGGCTGTATTGTGAGGGCTCACAGACGTTCACAACTTCTTTTGGGGGACAGAGCTTGCAGGCAGGGTGAAACCTCCAAAATACTGCTGAGGTCTACTAGTTCACTTTTTTTGGGAAAGAGGATTGTAACAAGTCTGTCAGGGAATTTGCAATGATCAATATTTCATACTGTCTTGCTGCTTCCATATCCCTACAAATAAAACATTTATATTTCACCATATTTCTGGACAACAAAACCATCCGACTCCATGAAAGACAGGCAAGGAAATCCTTTCTAATCATTACACAACTGTTTATACTTCAGGATTATCAATATAATGCCAGAAAAAGGAGAAATTACAGAAATGCACTTAGCCTTATAATCATCATGAAATCGGTCAGAAAACAGTTTAACTTCCCTCCAGTTAAAAGAAACATGGAAAGATAAACAGACAAGATGAAAATAAGCTACTATAGCAACCTAAAGCACCACTGGTGCTCTAGTTGGGAAGTGTTCTTACGTACCAGTTCAAAGCTCATCAGCATAGTTTTCAACCTATCAATTTCTTCTTGCAGTTCTCTGATCAGTTTTACATTTGCATCCTGAAACATTGAGACACAGATAGATTAAAATCATTCTTTAAATAATTCTAGCTATAAAAATCAATGCAGAGCTGTTCAGGAGCAAGGAAAAAGGCACACTCACAGCAGCACTCCTTGCTCCCCTCTGCCAGGCCCCGGGATGTACTACCTAGGGCCAGGTGGCTCCCATCTTTGATGGGTTCTCTTTTCCTGTAAACTTTGCTCCATCTCTTTTCTGAACACAGACCTACCATGGTAAGTAGGTCTTCCCATCATGACCATAGCTGGATACATCACTACTTTTATGGATTTACCTTCAAAAGAGTCCCATCGAGTCAGAAAAATGCTGTTATTTCTGTCATGTAGAGGAGAAAAATCTAGAGGAGACCAACCAGAATGTCACCAACCATGGTATTAAAAGCCCTTGGAGCTGATGCACAAAGCATTTCCTGTCTGCTTGTCTGGAGACATTTATCTCACTTTGGGAGTAATCATCTCCAAGGGTGCTGGGAGAGGACTTTTTACAAGGGCCTGTAGTGATAGGACAAGGGGTAACGGGTACAAATTGAAATCAGGGAGGTTTAGATTAGATATCAGGAAGAAATTCTTCACAGAGAGGGTGGTGAGGCACTGGAACAGGTTGCCCAGAGATGTTGTGGATGCCCCATCCCTGGATGTCTTCAAGGCCAGGCTGGATGTGGCTTTGAGCAACCTGGTCTAGTGGAAGGGGTCCCTGCCCATGGCAGGGGGGTTGGAACTAGATGATCTTTTGGGTCCCTTCCAACCCCAACCATTCTACGATTCTATGACTCTATGATCTCTGCACTGGCAGTTTTAGGCAAGCAGCATTTTGTGGACAGTTCAGGGAAACTCTTGAGCCAAGAGAGAACTTTCTCTGGGCTGCCAGTGCCACTTTGGCTGAGGTCAGTTTGCAGTGAGGGGAAGAAGGCAGCTAGCTGAAGGGATGGAGTTAAGGGCCTAGCATGGGCTGTGCAAGAGTGATGAGCACACAAGCTGGGAGGCTGAGAGGCTGTGTGTAACAAGAGGCTAACTCAGGAGGACTGTGTCTACTTGCCTGTGGCCTGTCACAGGGCTGAGAACTGCTGCTGCTTAAACCAAACACACTATTTGCTGCCACTAGTGATGTCTAAAAACTAGTTATCAGCACTGGTAATTAAATTTGGGAAACCTTTGATTAGAAGGGTTTCCTTCTGCCCAAGATTTAACCAAGTGTTGTTAGGAAGGCAAATAAGAGAAGTACATCTCTAAGATTCTATCCTTTTATCCATAGATAAAATCTTGATATGTCCAGGCCAAATCACGAAAGAATGCTACTAAAATGGTAAAGTCAACTGCTCAAAGATTAGAAAATGCTGAAATCAAGACTTTTTTTGAAACCTTAATTCAATTCAGTCTCCTTAAATGGAAACACTGTGATTCAGTCCCTAAGTTGTATGATCACTGTAGGACAGCAGCCTCATAGAACGCCAGGCAAAAAATGCACAGTTAAAAGAGCAGCAATTCAAGAATTTTATATTTCCAGCACATGTGATCGTAGATCTTGATTATTATGTGCTATTTGGATTCTGCTGTGAAGACAGGCAGAATTATGCATTTCCCCATGGAATTTTTTAGGCTGGTTCTCATCACTATAGTGTCTAAAACCTCCACAACTGCTAATCAATCTGTTTTAACAGCATGCCTTTGAATGGGAGAATTTTTATTTTTCCCACTTGATACACATGGACTGGGGATAAGAGTGGAAAATGAGGAACAGGCAAACACTGAGAGTTTGCTTTAAGCATCTGAACTTGCACTGAACAAGAATGCTGCAATAGGGGCAGCGTCAGACTCTACCCTTAATACCCTGACACCTTGTAACTTGTGCAGCTTGTGAAGGACACCTGGACAATCGCAGAGTCACAAATTCACAGAGTGGAAGGGGTTGGAAGGGACCTCCAGAGACCACCTAGTCCAATCCCCCTGCCAGAGCAGGATCACCTAGAGTAGAGAACACAGGAACAAGTCCAGGCAGCTTTGAAAAGTCTCCAGAGAAGGAGACTCCACCACCTCTCTGGGCAGCCTGTTCCAGGGCTCTGTCACCCTCACAGTGAAGAAGTGTTTCCTCATGTTCAGGTTGAACCTTCTGTTTCCCAATTTATGGCCATTGCCCCTAGTCCTGTCACCAGACACCACTGAGAAGAGCCTGACCATCCCCCTGACACCCACCCTTTAGCTGTTGATAAGCACTGATAAAATTGGAAATGAATCTGCCACACAGTTCATACCTGGAACAGGCCTATTTTGTACGATGAAGCTGGGGTTCTGTGGCAAAAAATGATTCCCCTGCATTTAAATGCTTCATCATTTTGTGTACTGAAAAGACAAATTGAGGCTACATAGGCTACCTTAGGCCTCGCCTATTAACTTTTGAACTCTTGAGTTTGCAACCTTAACAGAGCTCATTTAACAGGCCAAAAGGAAGGGTTGCAAGGGTTCTACACTTACAGTAACAGGTTAAATAGTGACAAATAATCCTAACATATCTGTCAGAACTTATCCTAAAGACATAGGGTAAACACACATGTCATAACAATTGAAACTCAATGGACAGCGATGAATGGTCGATGAATAGGTGCAAAATTCTAAGTGGCTTAAGCTGGAGGGGATCAAGGGAATTATATCTGTAATATTCAGGCTCCTATTCAGCACTCTTTAACATGGGAAAAGGAGGTATGAATTTTATTCAGAGAGCAGATATACTGAATAAACCTTAAATAATACACACAACAAAATGGAACAAGAATGAAAAGCAGAACTCGGGGCCTCACCTCATTCACTCTGGGCTTGTTAATAATATTTTTGGCATTTGAAGCGTATCTCAATGTACTCATGGTCTCATTGTAGCTGGAGCTGGCAGGAGAGATAGCTATAGGGAGAAAACAAATAGAAAAGAAACACTGTTTTAAAAAGTAATCAGCTTAACCCATCACTTTGCAAAATGGTGGATCTGAGTTTTGCTTTAAAAAACAAACCCAAAAATACCCTTACAGATATTTCATCAAGCTCATAGAGATTGAATTAATACAATCTGTATTTATATAGCTTCAAGACTGTATTTATAACTGTATAAATCACTTTAAATCAATGCTATGACCTTGGAAAGACTCTTAAGCTTAACTTTACGCACAATCAGCACGGTCTTTCATTTCCTTGAGTATTCTATGAAGTATTTATGAATATCTTTACAAGGACAGACTCGTAAGTGATATAGCTGTCTTCTTACTGTAGTAGACATGTATTTTAAGGGGGTAATGTAGTGCAAAACGTTAACAAAGAACAGAAACCAAACTCACTGGCAATCATAATGGTCTTGGAGTTGCCACCCAGACTGTCCTTCAGAAGCCAGGTGAGGATGGAGTCACGGTATGGGATGTACGCTGGTCTCCTGGTCCCACTGATGCTGCTTGTGGAAGGACTGTCAGCATGAGCGCTCTCTCCTTCGCTTGTTATGGTGTTTATGCTCTGGCAGCTGCTGAACATCTGTGAATTTTGTGCTGAAGGAGAAATATCACAGAGCACAGGAAAGGTTTTATCTTTTTCTATCACGGCTATTTAATTTTCTTACATGTCATTACAGTTTATGAAGATGCCACACAGCTGTTCTGTTCAGCTTTTTGTTGTAAATATAGATAAGGCTTAAGACACAGCTCATGGTGAGCCAGTCCTATGCTTTTATCACTACGCTTCAATATAAAGAACTACTGTGCTTACCTAAAGTGGAGATGACAATTCCAAGTGTAACTAGTGACTTGTTAATATTGGCACCTTCAGTAATTCGATCTTTACAGTAACTGGGATCAGCTCTTTCACTGTAGCATACAAGCATAGAAAACACAATGCAAATGGAACAAATATGCTTAATTACTAACATAAAATCAATATGAAAACTTTATGTATTTTCCTGACATACAAGAAAACAGAAATTGCAAGCTTTGCAATAAAAAAAAAACCAAACCACATATGCTTTGGATATTTTACATACTCTCTGGTTCAGAAAATCCAAACAACCACAAGCAAAAGCCATTGGCACAAACTACTGTTCAAGACTCATCAAAAACATCAATTCAAGCCTGAACTGTGCAACCCAATCATAGTGTTTCTGAATTTAAAAAAACAAAACCACACATACATTTCACAATGGCAAGCGTAAACTGCCTTGGTGAAAGCCTATATAACCCTCAACACCACTTTCTATGCTTAGATACACATGGCAATTTATGCTCTACAGAAAGAAAAATGCCCTGTTCTCCAACTGTTCTACAACTCTTCAGCATATCTTCCATCTTTCTCTTCTCTGTCACATCCAGCATGGCCACATGTTCCTTGCTGAAATGCATAGCTAAGATCAGAGACTTAGAAACGTTTGGAACATGAACAACATAAGCAGTGACATAGGACTATATTCTCCTGACCATGCTAGGCAGCCAGGAGGAATACATTCCTTTATTTTTTCTCTTTCTTTCCAAGCTCAGATTCAGTAATTCCATCAATAGCTACTGGAAAAGCGACTTAACAAGAATACAGGTTTGAATGGAATTACCTTAAGTATATGCAACAGCACAGTATTGGATTTGAAGACCCAGGAATTCTCTTCCCCAGTGAAATACAATACCCAATACAGAAGAACAGATGTCAGAGACAGTATTAACTCAATATTCCTTGTTACTGCACACAAAAGTCAGGCTTATTACTAGTTTAATGAAGTTTTAAAATATTAAATGTCATCTTTTAAGGCAGTACTACCAGCACGTTAAGAGAAAATTATCTTTTTGCCCCTCAGTATATTATTACCTGCCTGCGAGGTCCACTAAGTTGATCTTGCTTGCAATTTCAGAGGGGAGATTGTTCTCCAATATACCCTGAAGAGAAAAATGTAAATAAATAAGATTATTCCTCTTAACTAATTAATGAAAATAAAAATAGATGTGCTCTTTTGTCTGAAACAGTTGTGCATATGACTGTCTCACTGTTTTTTTGTGACCTTGACCCACTATGTTCAAACCATTAACTCAACAGCTTTCTCACCCCACCGAGAAACTACCCTCTTATGCCAATTTCCTCTTGAAAAAAATCTTTACTGCCTAGCGACTGTGAAAGGCTTTCTTGTAGACCTTGCAGAGTTATTTTCCACTAATGTATTCCAAAGGTCTTTTGTGAAACTACTGAAAAATATCCCTAAATGTTCTGTGATTACAGGATGTTAGAAGTGTGAGATAGAAAAGGTCTATTGGATCACCGAACAACTTCCCTGCCAGGGAAAGATATAATTCCTCCAGAGAAAGGGTGCATTGTCCCTGGGAGAGTACTGGATGCCAAATGCTAAAGAGATGAGCACATCTGAAAAGCTGGACAGATAAAAGATTTTGGTGTTAAACTAATGCTATTCTTCAATTAAGGATCCTAAACAAATACGACAAATTATAACTTCAAACATATTCACACGTAATTTTCACAGCATCCTGGAGGGGGTATTGCATTTCAAAGGGCTGATTAAAACTTTAAACATCTCTTTTTACAGTGAGCCTTTGGCATCACTTCTGACTATTAGCTTGCATAAAGGAACAAGAATGCTTCAGTAAACACTCAACACATCAGGCGGTGTTGGAAGCGTAACACATCTGCAGTGTGATCCAAAGGAAAAAGGTAACACTTTCCGTCAAGATTATTACAAACAGCTCAAAACGGTAACAAGTAAACAAAGCACAACACACTGAACAATGCTTTTTGAGAGTGAAAAGGAAGCTGGACCATTTTTTGCTAACCTGAGTGTAGTGGATGGTGAAGATAGCATGGGATCTGCTGCTGGCGTTGTGAATATGTGTAGCTGCTGTGATTCTAGAAAGAAGAACAAACCATTCAGTCCGAAAGGTTTATTTGCCAGTATCCAGGGAAAACAAAAGTAACAAGTACAGCAGATAAATGAAGATGACTGAAAGCAAAACTTGAAGAATATGGTAGGCTATATTCCCAGGTCTGATCACAGAGTATTTGGCCAAGGACTCTACTCCCTATTACTCTCTGCTTCCTACACCTCCACGGCCATGTAAGCTGGCACTGCCAAAAGCTACAAGTAGTCTAGTGCATCATGGCTGTAAGTGAGCCTAAGCTGAGGAAGCAGGAGAACGTGATCTCGTCTCCAGACATTGCAGGAGGAAGACAAGCAACTAGGTAAAGGGCAAAAGACAGTGAACAGTTCCACTGTAGGCAGAGAACGTAAAGGAACAGCACTGAAGTTTATAAAGCAAAAGAGAAACAGAAGGTGCCCCAGGATTTGGAGGAGGAAGTGTTAGTACTCACTTCTCACCTCTGACAGCACACAGGGTAATTGGAGGGCAAGTTCACAACTCTACTACTCATAAGCCATGTGAGCATTTTTATGGGAGAACATACATATCGGTTTCTCATATATTCTATGATAAATGTGGTGTACATTTTTATTTTTTTAACTATTCTAATAATATTATCTAGATTCATGGGTTGTTTTGCTTTACACAGCACCAGGGCTATGCTTCTGGAAATCTGTATTTCCTTCATTTCAAATATTTCATTCTTAAGCATTTGAGAGTAAGTCTTGCAAAGCGTCAAGGAAAAAATAATAAAAGAGTCACAATAAAAATAATTATTGCATGTTGAAAATCATATATGTTTATTTTATAATGGAGGGGTGCAGCCAGAGCTGAGCTGGAGATCGCCTGATAAAATCAACTGGCAGAAAAAATGCCTTCAGTTAACTCTGCTTGTTGTTAGTACAGGAGCTGCCCTCTCCCCCAGGAAAAGCAACACCCATGTTCAAGAGGAGCTTCCCCTGCTATCTTTCTTGTACCGTCAGACTTGGAGCCCTCATGCCCCATCTGCTCCTCTCCTGCTTCCAGCCATATTGGGCAGTTGCAACACGCTCCCCACCTTCTGTATCCCCAAGATCTTGCTGATGCCCATTTGGCACCAAATCCCAGACTGTAGATGTTTTAAATTAATTTGCTTGCATTTACAATGTGCTAATAAATACTCTGCAGAATAAGTCATAAAAATAAAGACTAGAAGTAAACAGGAGTTTCCTATATATTCCAAGTAAACTTTTGAAAAGTTAAAAAAGGAACAAGTTGCTTGGTTTCATGCAAGTGACAAAGGCTGAAACTTCAGCATCACAAAAACTCACACACAAAACATTGAAGCTCTGATTTTGTTTTCTCTAAATCTTCTATTTCCTTAGCAGAGACAACTGTAGGATTACACTAGTAGACACACCGGAATTTTGTTGTTGTTGTGAAAAAGTCTGTTCTTACCAGAGTTGCATCTATTGACTGCTACAAGCAGAAGCAGCAAAATGTAATCCTCTGTATATTCTACATTTTTGTGATAATGCAGCTTAGTTTTTCTTTACTTCCCAGCATCACTGATATTCTAAAATCCTGACCTCTCTTATGATAAGACTTAATATCAATTTTGGAACTGTGATTTGTATTTGGAGGATCCTTTCAAATACAACTCTTTTCCGTCACTGTAATGGCAGTTGTATTGATATCCAAGGCTCCCTGCTGAAAAAGTAAAAGAAGTGTCTTGACTAATAAGAGCTGAAATTGTTGGCTTCACTGGTGTGCCAATTTCCACAGTTCTTTTGGACCAAATGTGCATGATTTGGATTAAGAACTTAAAAAAACCCAAAACCAAAACACCCACAAAGAAAATCCCAAAACCAAACAAAACAAACAAAAAAACCCCACACTTATACAAATGCTTTTAGACATTAAATAAAAATACACTATCTTTTCAGAAGTTCAAAATCACTAAGTTACACTAACAAGTGAGTGGAAAGCTGTACAGTCCAAAGTGTCATGAGAAAGTAGAGGAGAAAAACTGAAATCTGTTTACAGCAAGATGTTTTCCTGGCATGCAATTTTTATCCCAGACAGATGGTTGAATTTTGTGGGTATGTCAACATTGAATCAGTTTTGAAGAAACAACTTCATGAGTACTTGTAGCTCTTACTGTGGATAATATGAGGTTTTGTAACATGTGTAAATCATGTGCAGGATGACAACGAACCACTGGCAACACTGTCAGTTAGATAAACATCAATGAAATCAACACATGGTGAAAGAAGTGTCAAATAAAGACAGATCTGGTTTGTTTTATTGTTTTATAAAATACCTTTTAGCTATTCCTTCTTCTAGAAGTTCTACAACTTGCTTGTAGTCTGTAACTAAATGTTGAGTCAATCCTGTAAAAGATTTAAAAAAAAAAAAAACCAGTTAAATGCATATTTTTCTCAGGAAGTTTCAGTCAGTTTGCCCAACAATTTACCCAACATCAGGAGCATAAGGATGTTCTGCTGGGATGCCAGCCTGTTTGCCAAGTAAACTCTCAACTAGAGAATCTTTTTTTCAAAAATAAAATAAAGAATTGCAATCCATCCTTCAGATGCAGTGACATCACTACAAAAACACCCTGTACCTTCAAAGTGGAGACCTTTTTCCAATTTGTCTGCAGAATGATGGTATTTAGAAAATAGTATAACTGAAACTCCACAAGAAATTTTCAGCTATGTCACTGCTACTAATCGGGTACAGATGCGTTAAAGAAGCTTTTTGCCATTACCTCTGGAAAACAGCTCTACTAGCACAACTAACAGATTTAGGAAGCAATTCCTGTGAATATTTACCACTTACTTAACTAGGCTTCAGCCTGCAACAGTTAGAAGTCTTCACACTCCTTTCTCCCCAGAGGGTACCCAAATAATGATATGAAACATCTTGCCTTTTTATATCTTCTGCTTTCAGGGCTTTTTTTTTTTTTTTAAAATCGGATTTTTTGTTGAAGGGGGAAAAACCCCACTGAAAAGAAATGCAGGAAACCCTGCACAGCAGAGCCTGCGGCCTGGGAGTTGTGACGGAACAGGCCCCCGCGGGTGGAGGGCAGTGTGCTGCTGCAGCGCAGCCCCTTGCAAAATGCAAACCCCAGCAGGCACAAAATGAACCTCAACGGGCTTGTATTTCACATAAATCCAGTTTAATATGCCTCGTTTGCTTTTTATGGTGATGGGTAGTTATCATTTATTGTACTGCAGTGACTCCGACGATCCACCTGAGCTGTGAAGCAAGTCTTTGTCACACAGTACCTAGGAAAACACGCCCTTGGAGAACGTTTTACCCCACAGCTGGCATCCAGGGCTACTTCCTCCCTTGACACTGATTTAGGTTTGGTTTGTATTACTGCAGGTCACAAAAGTATGGATGAAGGCAGAGTATTGAAAAATGTGATTTATTTGGATCAAATAATTTATCTACTGCTAGGATGTAAGTCAAGACAAATATAGAATTCAGCAAGAACAAAAAAAATGCTACTGCCACTCTTAGAGAGTCTATCCTTCCGTGGTAAGAGCTTGCTTGACTTGCAATGAAAGCCAAAGATGGGAATTTATTTTAGTCCTCTACCAACTGACACACATAAAGAAAACAAAAAAGGATTTTTGGATCACCCACACTTTTAAAAACCCCTAACTGCAGTGTACTTCATGCACGCTCGCACACACGCCAAGTATAGGATGATTTTCAAACAAAAGCACTTCTTCTCTCCAGCGTCCCTTTACAATACATTAATTCCAGAAGTCATCACATTTTCCATTTGAGAAAGAGGCCCATTAATTTTCCAACAGCACTGGGATCTTCAAAGCTCAGACTATGGAAACTATCATACATTGTTTTCCCAGACCCTTTTTCAGGGTCTTATTTCACTGAATAAAAATCCAGTTATAAAATGGAGGCAGGGAAGAAATGCTTAGCTATCTACGTTTCCACAAGTACTAGAACAGTGAATCCAGCACAGAGTTCAAAACATTTAGTTTTTCAATAAGGTAAATTAAATACTGTAAATATTGTTTGAAAAGAAATGACAAAGTGTTCTGTTGGCTGCTAGAAAAAGAAAGGTAATTTTCAAGTCCCATAGAAAGATCAAACACACTTGATCATCTAGAAATCTGCCTCTGAGTAAAACAGGATCTCCCCCAGAAATCTGTTTCAGAGTAACAAAATAGATTGCATCATTTCCTGACTTAAGAGTGTCCGATTCCTTAACAGTGCAACCATCTGTGAGGAAGAAGTTTTGAAACGATTCCAACCCAAAGCACTGAAACACTTTCAGCATTTTAAAGGCTACAATCTCACAGCCTTTACATGGAAAATGATGGGCTGGAAAGTATTCACAATACTTCAGTGTTCAGAGTTGGGACTTCCCGGCTGGACTTGTAAATAGAAAATGCATTGTCCAGAGCACCTAAGCATCCTTACAGGGGTTAAGTTTTCTGATTTCCTCTCTGTTCTTTGTCCTGTGCTAACTGTACTCTGGATATCATTGACACCAACCACACAACTGACAAACTAACGATAACACTAAGGAGTTCCTGATCTAAGTCAGCAACCCTTAACATTACTACTAATGGTTTGCAACAAGTATGCAAATATAGATGCTAGTCCCTAACATACTGGATCTATGGGAAATTAAAGAAAATTTCTGAGCTTTGCTGATGTTCCCCATGTTTATTTCTCCCATACAGCAAATTATCAGGAAGGCGAATACAAAAACAAGCTCCCCTTTCTACTAAACTTGCTGATAATCCTGATCTCAGACATCTAGTTATGGGAAACAATATTCCTGTGCTCTAATCCTGAACAGAGAGACGACACAGAAAACTGCCAAAGACTACTTCAGCACGCAGAAGGCCCTCACTACAGAGAACAGCAATCTTTCATTGAAGCAATATATTACTGCAGTTGAGAAGGGCATTTCGTACCAGTGTTGTGAACTATTTCATTTTCTTGAATTTGATGTTATTAAAATCAAGCTGACTGTACTCCTCACCTGCATTCAAAGGACCTCTGGACTTTCTCACTGCTGCTTATTTTTGATGTGAGCTAATAAGTGCAGTTCCAAAATGAGCTATGTAATCACACCTTCTTTATTAGTCCGTTTCCTCAAAAGACACCAGGGTTCTCTCTAGTAAAGCAAGCAAACTGTTGAAGTTCTTCATTGCGTAAACTGTACATAAGCATGTTTATTTATTAATATATACTTACATACACATATCTAAGAAATAGAACTATGTCATCTGACTGTTGCCACAAGCCACTGACTCATCAGCCTGAAACCTTTTCTGTTCACATGCTCTCACAACAGCATCTAGTTACACCGCCTGATGCCTTCAGCAGAGAAATTACTTCATTTTTCATGCATGTGATCAGTTTTTCTAAAAATGCAAATCACTTTTATCATTAAAATTTTTTTTTTTTTCTTACAGGCATTAACACTGATTTTGGGAGGCTGTCATAAGATACAGAGGGAGAGAATCTTCTAAAATAAAGTATTCATATTGGATTTACAAATGTGGCCAAAGCTGTACCTTTTTTTACATCCTTTCCTCTTATTTTACAAAATCTTATCAATTGGGAGGTTTTGTGGGATGTTTCAGAACTCGAGCATAAAAGTGTTCCACTTAAAATTTATAGTTCTGTCTATGTACAAAATCCTTATTCAAAAGGGGTAAAATTAAGTTTAAAAAAACCAACAAAACACAACCCCACCCCAAAAAAACCCACCACAACAGAACAGGAAAGGAAGTGACAGATTTGGCCTGGAAGGTTTCAGATGAAGACAAAATAGTGACAAAAGGCAAGCCAGCCCATTGGCAGAACCTATAACTTCGTTTTCTTTTAAAACAAGGAAACTCCATTATATTCAGCCAAGGAATCACTGGAGATGTAAGGCCTCAGAAAAGGGATGGAAATTGCCAAGGAAGGAAGCAGTTTAAAGACCTTTTCTTGTGTGGTGAATGAGCAGCTGCTAAAAGAAAATAATTAGTATCTGTTCTCTACCAACAATGAAGTTGCCCGATAACAAGCAGGTAGAAAGAGAATCTTGGAAAGACCTCAATAAAGGCCAAATGTCTGTGAATCTGCTTTTCAAAGAATGTAAGTTTGCCATACTAATGAGGCCATCAATTCATCTATTTTCCAACTCTCCTTAAACAGAATGCTGATGTGCTGGGAAAGCACAGCTGAAATAACCAGAATGCCAGACACTCCCTTGTGTATAGGACCATGCAAGTTCAACACTTCCCAAGTACTTATTTCAAATTTTGAGAGAAGGAATTGGTAACAACTGTCGGTTGTTAGATATACTATGGCCGATATTGCAGGTGCCCAGGGAATTACAGGTTCCATTCAATTACACGGTCAAGTCACCCTTGTCTTAATCTCTGAAGTGAGGGTAACAATCCAACATGTAATGCCATGATAAAGACAAAGAGAGGGAGAACAAAAGGAATTCACAGAACAAAGAGATAAGAACTCAATTTAAAAGCCAGAACAAATCTGTATTTGAACTGACGTGACAGGACCAATAAAATTTTGCGTGATATGCATTTTGCACACTAGGTGTTACTACCCACTTGGTGGCCAGCCAAGCAGTTGCAGAATCAGTGGTACCAGAGGCAACTTTGGAATTCTGTGCACTAGAGATTAAGGCACACTGAAAAAGAAACGTATACATTTACTTTCTAAACAAACTGACTAATTTTTGAAACTTTCATCAGCCTGGAAAAGGCTCTTCCTTCTGATCTCCACCATAAAACTACTCCGTATGACTTCACCGGTGCACTGATTTTGAGACACACGCCTTTTGTCAGTTGGTCAGATGAAGGGCAACACAGCAGGCAAACTTTACATTGGGAGCCAATCAAATTACAAAGTATCAATCTTCGATCTTCAATCTAAAGCCATGGAAAAGCCTGAAGTAAAGGCACTAATCAAAAGTGAAAATGAACTGGAAGCACAAAAATCAATGAGCGAGAAGGTAAGAGCTAAAATAAGAAAGACAACTGAAACAGAAAAGATACATGTGGTGTTTTTTCCATCTGTTCTGTGTCTCCTGATTTGAAAGTTACAGTTCACTAGCAAACACAAAGCCACCTGAGACGCTGCTGTTGCAAGCGTGAATTAAAAAGCGTGTGATGTTTTTAATCATACAATGCACCTACATTACCCATCCTGTGCTTTATCAGTGTGATGAAGAAAAATTAAGCTTATTGGGATCTCAGTTGGGTAATGCTGATTTTTCACTGCTTCTGACAGCCTGGCCTGCAACAACAAACAGTTGCATTTATCTACCTTTTTATTGTTATTATTTTATATACATATACTGCTGCCAAGGAGTGAAACAGGCATGGAGGGGCCTTAGGCTGGTTTGAAGAACCCATTTAGAGCTGATGTTGGTGGATTTCTTGATTAAGTTCAGATTTATTTAAAACAAAAGAAAGCAAAACACTATGGCTCACACACGACCTATGCCTGGAAAGGCAAACAGAAAAGTGCAGGATATCCAGTCAGTGAGATAACAGAGGCAAAGCTTTCAGCGTATTACACGTTTCATGTTAACAAGCAAAATATTTGAGGAAAGTAACCTTTGAAGAGCAGAAGCAATTAGGATCATGCCAGGAACATACGCAAAGATACATACAGACCTGATAGGCATTTACTGAAATTCTCATGTTAGTTGTGAAGCCGGTTCTCACCTTGTACATATGGTCCTGTTTCAGGGTGTTCTCGCACTCGAAGTGTGTAAGGTTTCTTTTGGTCTGATTGTTTTAACAAATCTCGGACACGCTCATTATAGATTTCAAGAAAACTGAAAAGCATGAAAAGAAAAAAAAGGATGTTAAATGTACACAATTAAAAAAAAAAAAAAGAGAAAGTATATATTTAGACGATGTAACTACCTGAATTTTACATAGATCTTTCATGACGATAATGAAATTATAACAGAGATAATGAATTCATTTTCATTATCTCTGTTACTGGTGCCTTCCCATGCAGTGCACGTAGAAAGAACTCATAGTAGCAAATTTCCAAGAAGCAAGAGACATTCAGTATTTATTTTAAAAATTAATAAAATATGCTTTTGTAACACTAGTGAGCTCAAATCCCCAGACTTCCACATACAATGCTTCATTAGATCAATGGGAACCATAGAATCATAGAATGGTTTGGGTTGGAAGGGACCTTAAAGACCATCTAGTTCCAACCCCCCTGCCATGGGCAGGGACACCTTCCACTAGACCAGGTTGCTCCAAGCCGCATCCAGCCTGGCCTTGAACACTGCCAGGGATGGGGCATCCACAGCTTCTCTGGGCAACCTGTTCCAGTGCTTCACCACCCTCTCCATGAAGAATTTCTTCCCGATATCTAATCTAAACCTCCCCGCTTTCAATCTAAACCCATTACCCCTTGTCCTGTCACTACAGGCCCTTGTAAAAAGTCCCCTCCCAGCTTCCTTGTAGGTGCCCTTCATGTACTGGAAGGCTGGAACTATTAACAAGAATGGAATGTAGGATTATGGCTCAAATTTAAGAGTTAAACAAACAGGAAGTTAATTTTTAATGCACTCCTATTTCAGCTGTCTATACAAAAGTGAACAGACAAATCCAAAGAACCCTGTACTGAGATGGAAACCTAAACCAAACACTTTCTCATCCTCACTCTATGTTCTCCCCCTTGTTCCAAAAGTATTATTATCTGAGAAAACAGAAACAAAACAAACTAGTCTTTACTTTGCTTGATTACAGGAATATGTTGTTGAAAGTGTTCATAGCATTGCCCAAAACAGTGGTACACTTACCTGACCTTTACTCTGCAAGATGCTGTCTGGTCTGAGTAATCATCCTTCCTTGAAAACAGGCCCTGTACAAAGCAGAATTTTATGTAAATTTTAAATCCATCAAGAAAATCTGACAGCTTAAACACATGCAAGTGAAATAGAAAGGAAGTACCTCACATATACGAGGTGTCAGCCCAATGGATGCCTTCAAACAATAAACAGAAAAAAAAATAAACAACATACTTGCTCTCACTCTTGCAAAACTTATTTTTAAATAAAAAACAAATTATAAGAGAAAGACAGAATCTTAGTGCAGCATTAAAGTAGTGGCTGTATGGTGCATTACAACACAAACCGCCTTGGAGTGTAGCTCAGAAGAGCATGGCAATGCTCTACTACTCCAGCTGAAGCATCTTGCACACGTGCTGTGTAATGTCAGCTGTCTTAGCTTCAGTTCAAATGCTATTTATAGCAAAATCATTTTAGAGCAACTTATACAGAATCAGTGAAAAGTTTAGAGGCTTTGGTTAAATCCCAGAGCTGTTTCATGTAAAGATACTGGACATGTCTATGTCAGAGGTGTTGCAGTCTAGATGAAGCCAGACCAACACTAAAACTAGCTGGATTGGTCATGAATATTTTATTTTTTCCTTATTCTACTTTTATTTATTTATGCTACAGCATCACAGAACAGGCTTGGAACAGCTTTATGTTCTAGATTTACCAATATGGTCTGTCAGAGAGAATGGGATACAGGCTGTTAAACAGTACCCAAACTAGGCGATATAAACTTTGCCCAAACAGTCTACACAACACTGAAGTAACGGTGGTTTTTTGTGTGATGACTGTTCTTATGAGATGATTGCTCACACTTCAGTGATTGCAGTACCAACACACGCTGAGGAAGAGACTCTAAGGCATAGGTGGGAGCTGCTTGCTGAATAGCATGAAAGGCTTTTAGATGGCACACTTGAAATGGCTGTTTAGGGGAGAAAGTCCAGGTTCACCAAGTGGACCACTGTGGACATAAATTCAGTTCACACCAAATACTTGTTTCTTCCTAGTTTTGAACACTTTCACAGTGAATACATGTTTAATAAAGATCATATCAAAGCAGGGTTCCATTTGAGAAGGAAATCACTTTCTAAGTCAGAAATCTCTTAGAAACACTACACCTGGAAACTGCCTTGGAAATAAATAAATATTTCAAGACATAGTCATTCTGAATGGCTAAGAAATTTTCAAAATAATGTAATATAAATATCCTACTTTGTCACCTGTTAACTCCAATTTTAACAATTCTTCAGGCTTTCAAGGAGCTAAGCTTGATTTAGAACAAAATGAATGGAGAATCAAGTCATAACTGAACAAAATTCTATTGGTGATGTCTGTGGGGAAAATAGAATTTTAAAAATCCAAGCTCCTGGCAAAAGCAAACCATTCCAAAAGAGTCTTTTTCTTATCTTCAGGGTTTGATTGAATTTTATCCTTATTTCACCTTAAAAATTGAATCCCATGGGTATAGGAAACAGTAGTCCACTCACACAAACCGTTACATAAAATTTTTCTTTTTTTAGGGGCATGTTTCACAAACAGCCAAGAATATTACTGGATAGAGATCAAATTGCCTTGTCTTGCAGCAGAGTGCAGGAAATCCTCAGCTGACACCATCAATCTGAGTACCAAGGTGAAAATGCACTTTAAGTGGTACCTGGTAGACAAGAATCTTAAAACATAACAGTTTCTGCAAGCACTGTTCAAATACATTTCAAAACTGGAAGTGAAGCAAGTATTAGTTTCCACAGGCCAAAGGATAACTTCTGCAATAGATATATGTCTCAAGAAGATAATTAAGCCTGTTACAAAAGTATTCCTGTGAATTGTAGCCAGTTTTATTTGTGAAAGTAATTTAATTTCAGCACAGCTCAGACTGCCAAAAAATTATGAGAATGAATACTTTGTATTATCTTGAGCTAAATGTTTCTAAAAAGTAGAACAATTCAGAGGTATAGTTTTTTTTTACCCTTTATTAATAGCAATAAGATTCTTTCCTAGTAAGATGAAGGTTATCTAAAAGAAATACTTAAACTACACTATATTTTCTATTATTTTTAGCTGCTGCTATATTATTTACCTAAATGTAAAGGCTTGACTTACCAAATAAAACATGTACAGGCATTCTGTTCAACAAGAACAATAATCAGAGTCTAAAAAGAATGTGATGTTTCTGCTGGACATCCCTCCCCCAGCCCTAAATGTGAAATGAATGGCGTAACTCACAGGTGTTCCCAGCATTGTGTACGTTTTTCCTGAACCTGTCTGTCCATACGCAAAGAGGCAGATGTTGTATCCTCTAAATGCACCTGACAATACAGAAGTGCCAAGGTCCTGGAACACCTGAAAAGACCAAAAGAAACAAAGCAATCCATGAATAATATGGCTCCCTATAAACACTCTGCATTACTTGCAGCTTTAGTGACTCCTCAGGAACAAGGATCTTCACAGTGATTACCTTTCTGATTTATCAGACACACGTTAAAGTGCCCAGCATTCACCTGTTAGATCTTCCTCCTGATGCTGGTATGCCAAGCACCATGCTGACACCGAGCAATGTTCTTTAATTGTCCTTCCCTGCCTGCTATTTCTTATTTTATACTTAGACTGTATAAATCCTCGAGGATCTCCCCCACCCCAAATTTTTATGATCCTCAGCATAAATTTAACAGAAAGGCATGATCAAGGGGTCTTTGATGCAATGACATTACTAGGAGCATTAGGCATCAGAATTACACGTCAAAAGCAAAGCAAAGTCTATCCCATAGCGTGCAAGCAGACCTCACGTAGGCAATACTTCATGCTGACCCATCAGGTCAGTAAGCAACACCACCGAAGGCTAAATGCTTCCTTTTCTGTTCATGGCATATGCACAGTGATGTGCTGCCTTCTGCTCATCATAACACAGAGTCTGGAGCTGTTACCATCAAATCAATGTCTAGCTTCTAAGGGCTTCCAAAACTTGCACTGGTCCCACCCGTGGCTGCAAAAGTTGGACCACCGCAGCCTGAATACCCACACGGCAAGATCTGAATAGTCATTCCTCCTGCTTTCCCTGGTCCTTTTTCAGAGACACAGCTGCCCCACACTGTGACCATGTTCTCAGCACATCAAAGCCTTGCCACAGAGCAGCTGAAAAGACGCCTGCTAAGGTTCGCTAGGAAGTGCATGGCGGATCAAAGGGTTCCAGTCGGCAGGCTGCCAACACCTTAGCACAGCTTTGGCCTTTCAAAAGAAATGCTACAAGTGTTAATGGTTTTGCCATTCACATAGAAAACTAGATAGCATATATAGAGAGAGATTCAGATGATTTCAGTGTTTCACTACCATGAAATTTCATCCACTGCCAGGTAATTTGCTTCTCCAATGGATAGATAAATGGATCAAGCTTGATATAAAAATCAACAGTAAAACATATTTCACAGATATCACCACTTTACCCAAACTGCCCAGAAAAAAAGATTAAAAATCCCCTCCTGAGACTTTTATTTTCAGATCATATTTCAACTCAAACTGAGTTGAAGATGCTGATTTCTAGCTGAAGAATCAACACACTGAGTTGAAGATGCTAATTTCTAGCTGAAGAATCAGTAACATTCCCATCCAGCAGAATTTAGTTACCCCTGCTCGTACTTGTAAGGGTAAGTTTCACGTCAGAGAATCTGTTTCATTAGGATTATCAGACCAAGGAGCTTTTCCATCCAAAGAGTAATAGTGAAAGTCGTAAACAAAACACACGGACACAAATATAACAGACAAGGGGTAACAGAGACAGGGACAAACTCTCCAGTTTTAACACTCCAATGTACTGGACAAGACATTAAGAAACTAAAGCATAGCTTTGGAGAGTGCCAGACAGTTTGTTGGTCATGAAGTCCAGGGAGAAACAAGGAACAGGAGGATTTGGGATATTTGAGGTCAGCCTGCAGGGCTATGTAAAAGTTATTAAGGAATGTTTAAGGTGAGGGGGTCAGGAAGGAGAAGGGAGTATAAAAGGGGCTGGTCCCATGGGCAGGGACAACCTCCACTAGCCCAAGTTGCTCAAAGCCCCATCCAGCCTGGCCTTGAACACTTCCAGGGATGGGGCATCCACAACCTCTCTGGACAAACTGTTCCAGTGCTTCAGCACGCTCTCTGGGAAGAATTTCTTCCTGATATCTAATATAAATCTCCCCGCTTTCATTTTAAACCCATTCCCCCTTGTCCTGTCACTACAGGCCCTTGTAAAAAGTCCCCCCCAGCTTCCTTGTAGCCCCTTCAGGTACTGGAAGGTGCTATAAGGTCTCCCCAGAGCCTTCTCTGCTCCAGGCTGAACAAGCCCAACTCTCTCAGCCTGTCCCTATAGCAGAGGTGCTCCAGCCCTCTGATCATCTTCGTGGCCTCCTCTGGACTCACTCCAACTGGTCTATATCCTTCTGATATTGAGGGCTCCAGTGCCGGATGCAGTACTGCAGGTGGGGTGTCACGAGAGTAGAGGTAGAGGGGAAGAATCACCTCCCTCGACCTGCTGCCCACGCTTCTTTTGATGCAGTCCAGGATATGGTCGGCTTTCTGGGCTGCAAGTGCACACTGCTTCTGATATGCATCAGTGTGTGATTTTCTAGCAAACTTTAAACTGGCTGAGCTAGTGAGGAGGAGGTCCAGAGTCCAGGCAAGAATATTAAACAGGCGAAGAGCCCATCCTGATAGTCAAGGGATTCAGGGCAGGGATGTTTGTGGGCATATGCACATTTGCTAGTGAGCAGCACGCTGGGTCATCAGGCAAGTTGAAGACCTGCAGAACAGTTAAGAGAGCTCAGTGTCCAGGCAAGGTTATTAGATAGGCGGAGGGCCCATGTTGGTATTTAAGGAATTTGCTCTGCAGACCTGGAGAGCAAGTGGGGGAGTGTTTTCACTAGCAAACTTTAAACCTCATCATTTGAATAGGAAGGAGATGTGGCTTTATGCTTTTGCTTCATGTGTGTGCTGTGGGTATTATTAAAGGCAGCGCCTTTTGAGACCATCTGTGTAGGTGGCTGCATCAGTGACCTGCATCCTCTGTCCTAGTCAGTGCATTTTTGGCATACACAGTGAGACTAAAGTGGAAAGCAGCTGCCCCATCCATTAGAGTGAGAAGGGGATGGAGAGACCTCCAGGTGTCCAGGCACAAAGCACTGGCCTCTAGGAGCTGAGCAAGAGGAATCCCCAGGGCCTGGAGTCCACAGGAGGCAGTGGCCTTATACATCCCTGAACTGTATCAAGTTTATTATTGGGAACAACTTACTTGTGGTCTTGAATAATTAGATCAAAGCCAAGAGTCCAGAATATACACTGAGAACTGCTAGTCACTGGCAGTACATCTGGCTAGTAACTCTTCGTCATGGACAATATGCCATAGAAAGATGAACTTTTATGGACAGGAAGGAGAAAAAACTAATACTATTAGTAAAATAAATCTGTGGGGCATAATTGATGTGAACAAAATAACTGACCTATTAGCATGATGGTTAAAAGTTAAGATGAAGAGGCCAATCTACCACTTTTACCTAATAAGTAAATATTGCCCAAATAAAAAACAAATTAAAAAATATTATCACTCTACTTTTAGAAATGTCAGCATATGCAGGCATGGATACACATTATTTTGCTGCCACAAAGGTTTAGAATCTATATAAAGAACCCAGAAGTGCACAAAAAACCCAGAGATAGGGTTTAAGAAATGAATGCTAGAGAACAAAGCTCCTGAGAAGCACTTGGAAATGTCAATTTTAAGGTGACACCAATGAAGGAAAGTGCACAGTTTAAGTGAAGAGGGAAGTTTATGCCTAGGGACTTTAATCCTGGGACTCAGTGTTAGCATCAAAATGGGCTTAAAAAAGGGCTAGGCAATAATTGAAAGGCAACTAAGCAAGCTATACATTCAAAGCAACAGGCAAAAGAAGGATGAAAAAACAGAGCAACAATTACAAAGCAGTTTCTCAACCTTGTAGGCAAGGAGGAAAGGTTGCATTTGATATGGTAAGGAGAAAAGGAACTTTCTTCCTTCCAGCCAGCAGCAGAATGGAGTTACCACTAGAAACCTCTCTCAGAGCCATTACAAAAGTGGTGTTTCTCTTACCCACTTCAAATACAAATGTTTCTTGATTCTACAGCCAGAACCGAGGAAAAAATCATTCCTTATAAATCAAGTGGGAACCTAATATCAGAGATCTCTACCCCTCTTTCAAATTTAGTTCAACCCAGCCAGTTTGTTCAAGAATTATTAGGAAACATGGGCCAAAACCAGATAGTCACTGTAAAATTGTATTTTTTCAGAAAAATCAAGATAAAGATTGCAGTTTCTACCTATTCAGCAGAGACTAAGATTTCACCAGCTATTTTTCCTGTAGATTCTGTCTGCTCTGGACATTCTCCAGCTCACAAGGTGAAGACTTCATGCAGATTACAAACTTGACTGCTGTGGGCCAGGACATCTCTAAGACAGGACATTTAAATTCAGAGCAGAAGAAAGAGAAAGTTCCTCCTCTGTGTGTGTGTGTAGCTCAATGATTATCAGTAGCTGGGAATGTGAACATAGGGAAGAGGAAAGAATCCGATCTAAATTCAAGATGGCAAGAGCCAGATCTGAAGACTGACAGAAAACTGGGGAACAACTGGGTAAAATAACAACGACTGAGAACCAGTTAATACTGAAGGGAAGGAATGAGAAGAGAGTGGGACTGATATGAGGCTCTGAAAAAGAAGAGGGTGGTGGCATCAAACTGGACAGAGTTAAGGGAGGAAAGGTGGGACTAGTATCCATTGGGAACTGCATATCTGTGGGAAAGAAATTGAGTTTGGAAGCCAAAGTGCAGGAAACCATTGGGTTGGGTTGCTATGGAGGACAAAGAAGAGGGACAAGTGTGAAAGGCAGACGTTTGTAGATCTGGAATCCAGAGGGTCAGATTTTGGGGTAAACAATGGGACTGGAGTCAAATAGTATAAAGAAAAGGACTAAGAAATGACAGGATGTGTTATCTTGAAGTAATAGGAGCAAGGTGAGTCTGTACCTACTTCCCTTCAGAGTATCAATGCTGAATAAATTCAGGAATTTCACATGGCTAGTTGTACACAGAAGTAGCCTAAAACTAGCTGGTGTACTCCATATCAGTTTAGAAACCTGCACTTTACAGGGTGGAACCCCTTACAATAGAGGTAAATGCAGTCTAGAGAAGTACTTCGAGTTTATGACAGTTTCCTCATTAAGAACTGTGCTTCTCTCTGAATGTTCATAATGGATCTTTGAGAAGTAAATATAATAAACCAAAATCTTCACACAGTGGCAAGCCTTTGGGATAGCAATGCTAGCAATGTATCTGGACACT